CTGGCTTCGAATCAGCGCAGCTCTTGGGGCCAACTGGGGAATGAACCAGAGACTGTAACTTTGCCTGTCACATAAATAAATTAATCTTAAAAAAATAAATGTAATTAGCTTTTGTTACTTGTGCTAATAAAATCATTTGTGGCTTTAAATATTAAAAAAAAACTAACTTCAGTGTTGCATGGTACTCCAATACGTTTATAAAAATTAGTTGTATAAACATGTTCTCCCCAACGTAATGCTGGCTAAACTGATGAGATTAAGGTAAAACGTTTACTAAAGAAAAGTCTAGATAACACAAAAATCACTATCCTAAGCATCTATGATATCTAATATTTCTTTGATAATAGTTTTAGTTGTCTTTATATGTTATACCAATTTGTATCAGAGTTTAATGACATAAAAGGCAGTTTCTGAATTGGTAGCAGGCATTTCCTTAAGATTTTAAAATGTAAGTCCATTTTTAAAAATAGACAAGCCACATATGACAATGAAGGCAATAGAAAAATGTGTAACCAACACATTCACATAACCTTAAAAATATTAGGAAAGGGTGTTCTAAAAGACTTGTTGCAGATCTGTGTTCTATTACCCAAGATACTGAGTAGAGGATTAAAAGTTATTTTCAGTGTATGTGTCAATTCTGTGTCTTATCACACACATACTTTTCTTCAAGTCTAACTTTTGAAAAGCGGCCCTTGCAAGAGACAACAATGTTTATTCTAAAAGTTTCATTCAACTTTGCTTCTGCTTGAATACGCGTGAATGTGTCCCTAAGCATCTTGGCAGATAGCAGCAAAAGGACAGCAAGGACAGATGAAAGAGAAGCTGCAAACTCACACCGTGATTACTTTGCACACGGATACAAGATAATTCATATTCTAAAACCTCAAGACTTTCCTTTTTAAGAAAGCAACATAAACTCACTCACGACAACTTGCCAACCCTTCCTCATCCCTCAACATTTTGATAAACTTTTTACACATAAAATTGAGTTATGGCAGCAAAAGGTTTTGATAACGATATAAATTTGTAAACTGTATTTTGCCCTCTTCTTCTCCATGCCCATGTGCAAGTTCATGATCTTTCAGCTAAGCTGCTTTCTTTTTGGGGAGGTGGGGGTGGGTAAAAGCAGTTTTTGAAATACATCTCTTCTGGTATGCTGACACAAAACAAAGGACCCAGGTACCGCAAAGAACAAATCTCCATACATTGTGATATCGGATTGGTCAGTCTGACACAGTCAATGGCAGATCCAGGCAACCAAAACCTTGAAAAACAAAAGGCTCCACTTTCAGAGTCCCTGGTTGAATGTTCAATTAGAACAGTTCATTGTCTGTCCACATCTGGTTGTTCATGAAAGCAAAACCTATCATTCGAGTGTTCAATTCTAGCGTGAAGTGTTTTACCATGGGAGCGAAAAAACAAAAAACCATCTACCTACCACATCAGCTGCTTCCCTTCTGCCCCTCTGTGTGGTTGGTCTCTAGTACCATCCTTAGTTCCCAAGTTTTTTCAGCTGCTCTGAATTAATCACAACCATAGGGACCACTGCTTTCTTTGCACCAAGACATAAGCTCCTGCAACTGCAGGCATAGGGATCAAAATTTAAATGATAGTACATACTTTCTGACACATGGACAGCTGTTCCTGTGAGTCTCCTGAGGTTCCTTTTGATTTGATTATTCTGCATTGGAGGTAGCAATGATGAGAGTGGAGGAATATCATCAGGACCTGCCCTTGGGCTCTGCAATGTGCCTCTCTTGGTGCCAGTGAATAAGATGGACCCACAGAGATCTCTGATGGCAATAGGCCAGGTCCTGCTCTACCTGCTTCTTACAGTTGGGGAAAGAGTTCCCTCCCACTTGAGAAGGAAGTGCAGAAACTTCTGTCCAGACAATAGCACAGGATACAGCTTTCATCTAAAAGTACAGAACATCAAACCCAGTCTTGAGGCGAAAGTCCAATAACTACAGGCACGTATTCATCGAGACGAAGAGGCAAATCTCCATTTCTGCCTTTCGTAACTCTTCAATGAGTTAGTTTATTCTTTGCATACAGACAGCTTCAGGCTGATGATTGTCAGTGCAAATCTTCTCCAACATAATTCTGCGCTGGACTCGGGTTGGAAGAATGAACCAAGCCTTTGGCTCTCTCCTCCATTGTGACAGGCGGATCCATTTGCTCAGTTTGCAGTTTGGAGCCAAGGGGAGGGTTACGGGGATGACTGAGGAGGGAGGTGAACATTTTACTGGCCCTTGAGCAGTCACATCTTCAAGACTGTTGGTGGCGCAGAGGGGAAAAGGCGTCCTCACCCAGAGGAGCAGAGGGCGTGCTCCCCCTAGACTTTCTGCTTTTTGTTTTGCAAAAAGCCGCCTTTTCAAGGTACCCATTAAGCTTTCAAGTGTTTGATCTGTTTTTATTTTCCACCTTTTTCATCTTCACTGTTGATCTCACAGCTTGCCATATCTTTCCTGGAGCCGCTACCAAATAAGGAATCATCATCTCGAAATTCCCTGGCTAGTGATGGTGCCTGCTCTGTCATGAAATCAGTTCCCTGGCAGCCAACCTTTTACTCAGGTTAAAGGATTTCTGGAAGATTTTCAGACTCGTTTTCTTTATTGTGACTGGTTGCCTAATTCAGGGGGATTAATTTCTTTCCAGAATACTATCAATTCGCACACGTGGCTGGGCCAGCAACTCTGTCTTCTTTTTCATCTCCGTTTAAAAACCTCTGGATGCATCTTCCAGCGGCAGCGGCGCGGCTGCGGCGGCCAGCGCGTGTCACCCGCTCGCTCCTCCAGCGCGGCGCTATTGCTGCGAAGCGGGTCTTGTCTGAAGTGATGCAGCTGTGATAATGTGTTACCCGGCAACAGCAAAGTCACACACAACGTTAGAGGGGTTGTTGGGGAGGCAAAGTTTGGGATAGGGGTTGAAGATTTACAGATGATTTAAATTTAGAATGGCTGCCCAGAAAAGGGAGAGAAGAGAAAAATAACTGGAAATCTCGGCAAAAAAGAAACATACAAAAGCAACTCCTTCCATGCCCACATCAAGCCTTTATCACCCTCCTCGTGCCTGAAGTGATTCTTGCCGTCTCAGATATTTTATAGGGCAATGTATTTTTATCACCTAAACAATACTCTTGCATATGGTTCGCATTTGGGTTTTCTGTGTCTCCCCAACTAGGGTTCAAGTTTTTTGAAGGCAAGGATCTTGTCTTGTTTATTTTTGTGTCCCCCTACAGTGCCTTGCACACAGAGACTAAGTGTGCGTGTTACTTGATTGACTGAAGAAAATCTGCCTGCCTAATGAAGAAGTCCTTCAAACTCAACCATACTATCCAGGTGCTATTCCTGGAAGGTATGGAGCCAGGGTTCTTGAGACTCCAGTAAGGGGTTTTTCTGTACTGAGCCTCTGTGAGCCCTACTGTGCAGCTTTTCATAGAAACAAATTTGAGGACAAGGAACCCTGTCCATAATAGCCTACTTGACCGGCACCATGACCTGGCATTTAACGAGAAGAGTTTTACCTAATTAACTAGCACCCACTAATCAGTAAGGCCTAAACAGCTGCCAGTGGAATCTGAAGAAGTGTGTTCTAAAAGCGGAAAAGCTGAGTTTATTCACTACAAATGGGGCACTTGTAGTGGGGAGGGAGGTTACCAGTTACATGAAAGGACACAAAGAGGTCAGTTCGCAATTTCCAGAAGAGTTTGTGTAGTGAACATTGTCTTTTTTTTAACTGCATGACATCTCTTAATTAATTATAGAAGAAATTAACATATATTATGAATTGTCTCTGTGCTCTTGGCTGTGATTAAGTTTGTTGACTGCTCAGAAGAAATTGAAGCAGAATCTGAGGACTTGTTAGTTTTTAAATGTAGACAAGGGGTTGGGTCGCAGAAACTTTTTGAAGACATTCATTAACATGTTTTCTTAGATCAAGGACTTGTTGAAATACAAAGGCTCTCAGAGCTCCAACTTATAACCTCTAGTGGCTTGTGATAATTTCTTGTTTATGTAGCAAGCTACCCGAAATCCTTTCTGGAAGAAGAGATGAATTATAAATTAATACCAATGTGACAAACTGAACGGTGGACTTGATTTGTTCAAGGAAGTGGAAGCAATTCCTGACTCTAGACGTGTGGTTTTTGCAGATGGTAAGTGAATACATTTATTGCTGTTCTGCTCAATACAATCGCCTTGTGACAATTTGCAGAGCTAATTGGTGGACATTAAGTCACAACTTGGAGGAGAGTCATGGATTTGGACGAAAATGAATCATCTTTAACATTTTTATGGCTGCTTTTGGAGTGCAAACTCATCGTGTCCCTGAGTTATTAAGCATTTGTCCGATTACCATGGGTAGAACTCTCCTGAATAGGAAAACGATTTTGAAATTTCGGGCTATGTAGCTAAAAGCAGAGGATGTCTGGGTTCATTTGGCCCTCTAAAAGTATGCCTTTCTCATCAAAGTGCTTAAACCTAGGGCTGGAGTCAGAACTAAGGCGTGTTCCAATTGGAACCCTTGTCTCCCACCGTTTTTAAAGAACAGCTTGTCTTTGAAATACAGTCATTTAAATGTATTTGCTCAGAACTGGCCCATCAGCCTTGTAAATATTTTTTTTTGACTTGGATAAAGTTGCTTAAACTTTTGTGGACACCTTTGGCATTGCTGTTAAAATGTACTTCACTAGCTAGGTAACCAAGTGATACTACTTTGGCAAATATGTAACCAGTGAGTACATGGATATTTTTCACTCTTCCGCCTTACTCTCAAAAAGCACTTGAACAGTCCTGCCCCAGCGAGGGCTCTAACAGGGAGCCCGCTTGACAGGGTTGCTCGCATGCGCTGTCGGCACAATTCTGTTTGTCGCAATGGGCCTTGCGCGGAAGCTTACAGGAGGGCAAGTGACTTTGATTGTAGTCATTGGGTCTGTAGCTCTGGTTACGCGCTGCCTCCGCCGGGTACTTGATTGTAACAGAAAGTAGTTCCGGCCCGTGTTGTTTCGGCCGAGGAGCCTTCGCCGCCATTTCAAGACCGTGAGAGGTAGACGGCCAACCAGAGTTCCTAAGGTTCCAAGTCCGTAACTGCCGCCACCACTTAAGCCTTCCAAAATTCTGGTACGGCTGCTGCCCTCTTACTACTACCTCCAGAACCATTCTTGCCCGTAGTGGCGGCAGTGAGAGTCAGTTACCCCCTTTTTGCTCTCGCTCAAGAAGCTCCAGATGGCGTCTTCCGTGGGCAACGTGGCCGACAGCACAGGTACCGGTGTCCCGTTCTACCTTGTCAGACTCCCTTTTGGGGTCTCGCGCCGTCTTCTCCTCTCATCACTCCCTCCCTCCCTTCTAACCATCCCCATTGCATCAGTAGCAGCGCTGAGCTTTTCGTGGTCTGCTGACATCTCGAATTTTGTGCTGTCGTCTGCTCAAGTATTTCCTCTTTAGTGCTTGTTTGCTTTTTTTCTTGGTTTGTTTGTTGCCCTCCTTTAAATGTCCTAGCCCTTCACTCTCTCGGGATACTTCTCCTGCACGTGCGCGCTTAGAATGCCTTGGAATGGACTGCATTGGAATCCCTGCCCTTCCACTTTCCTTTGCAACCGGTTTCCCCCCCAGATTCCAGCCCGTAGCCCTCTCCTTTTTCCTCTCCACCTCCTCCTACAGCCCTTTGCACCTAGCCAGATTTCGTTCTTCTTTGCCGGTATAGGGCGGGGGTGCTATTCCGTTGTAACCGTATTCCCTCTTTGCATCACCCAAGGACTAGCAAAAGCTCGTCACTGTTATAAGTAACCTCCAGACGAGACACATTGGGCAGCTCCCCGCTGGGCAGCGCCTTTCCGGCTTTCTTTCGGTCGAGCGGTCCCAGTTTCGATTGGAAATTTCCAGGGATTCCCTTTGCCAGGGCCCAATTCCACCCGCTGCCCCCAGCCTGTATTTTCCCACCCTGTGATCCCTCTCCGCCCGCGAGGAACCACACCCTTTGCTTCGCGAGGTTTGCCAGCCCTTCGGGCCACTTCCTACCCCCGGGGGAGAAACCACCCCAATAGTGTTGCTTTGGCGCTGACCACCCTGCCCGCCCAATTCTCGCTTTGTGTTACTTTCACGATGTATTCTTCCGCCACCGCCGCCGCCGCCTCTGGGTCTTCCATTCCCATTCTTTAGCTCGGTATCTCTTTATTCATAGGGTGTATATATATATATATGTTTTTTTTTAAGTTTCCATCCCTGCTTGAAGAGTTTGTAAAGCAACTGGAGTGTAGCTGTACAATATACAAGGCTGTTGCCCTTTGAGACAATTCAGTTGCGAGCATTTGGTGCTAAAAATAAGAGAACAACCAAATTCTAGGAGTGTCCTTCGGCTGCCTTTCCATATTGAGGCTATTTGGGGCGTGCGGGGGTGGGGAATTGGACTGCGCTTCTAAGGTTTCCCACGAGGTTATTTCTTTTGGTTTTTCCTAGTTGAGATGGATCAAGGGTTTTAGTTCCTGTTTTGGACATTGTGTAGGAAGTAATAGGTGAATCTGTAATAGTATCTTAGTGGGAGTAATTAGTCTGAGCTCTCCGCGCTCCCCCATCGTGATTTTCTGAGATTTTAGATTCTGTTCCAGCTTGCCCTTTTCTATAAGTGTTAATTTTATTTGAGGAAGTTGGGTCAAGTGTTAAAATAGATGAGCGGCTCAAAAAGTGATCAACGTAACGTGTTAAAAATAAGGAGCTAGGAAATTCTAGGGACTTGTCTAAAATGTAATTTTCTAATTTCTAGTAGAGCTATACCACCCTCCCTCCCCCAATTTGGATGCAAGACTGTCTTGTTTGTGGTCAGATGTGCCTTCTGACAGGAAATTTACTTTGCTTTCCCGGTCTCCAGAACTCTCCTCAGCCTTAATGATTGGGGGAGCCAGGCTCAAATTTGATCATGTCACTGTGACCTTGGTAGAATTAAGTAATTTGTCCATGGTTTCGAATTCCACTCCTCTATCGAAAGTGTTGTGGTGAACGCCCAGTCCTGTATCACTGTTGTTTAAAGTATTTATTATTGAGCCTTAGGCAGTTTTTTTCCCATCTCTGGGCTTTAACTATATATACCCTCTATGTATCTGAATGAAGTCACAGCAAAGTGCTTTTGTTTGTTACTCATTCTGTTGTGCCTTATCAACTTTTATATTTGAGTGTCCCCCCCCCACCTTTTTTTAAACCATTGCAGTTGTAGGTAACTGCTTGGTTTACATAGGGTTGTTTGTAATAAAATCTTATAGTCAGTGCCAGAGCTTCTTGGAAAATGTTAGTGCTAAACTAGCATGGGTGGGATTTACCTAATTTAGTCTCCTTGTGAATTTGGAATGATAGAGGAGCAGTATAATCTTGGAGCTTTATTTAAAATGTTTGATGATCCCTTTAAATATTTTGGCTCTTGACAAATGAATACATCTTGTTTATCAGCTGTTTTAAAAATAGCACCTTGACTTTTAGTTTTTTTTTTTTCCCAATCTTAGGCTTGTTTCTGGTGTTGCTATTTTAAAACATTAAATTGTGAAAGATAGAAGCATATCAATATAATTTAAAGAGTAAGAAACATCTGGCGTTCCCACCTAGGTTAAGAGATAGTTACCAGGGCCGGCGCCGTGGCTCAATAGGCTAATCCTCCACCTTGCGGCGCCGGCACACCGGGTTCTAGTCCCGGTCGGGGCGCCGGATTCTGTCCCGGTTGCCCCTCTTCCAGGCCAGCTCTCTGCTATGGCCAGGGAGTGCAGTGGAGGATGGCCCAGGTGCTTGGGCCCTGCACCCCATGGGAGACCAGGAAAAGCACCTGGATCCTGGCTCCTGCCATCGGATCAGCGCGGTGCGCCGGCTGCAGCGGCGGCCATTGGAGGGTGAACCAACGGCAAAGGAAGACCTTTCTCTCTCTGTCTCTCTCTCTCACTGTCCACTCTGCCTGTCGAAAAAAAAATAAAAAAAGATAAAAACTACATAGAGATAGTTACCAATACTCCGTCTCACAGAAATCCAACCTAAAACTTTGGACAAAGTATTAAGTTTCCCAGGAGATTATTCCGACATTATTAAATCTTTGTGACCTTTGCAACCACTTTTTCCCCCCAGTATGTTAAATAAGTTGTAAGGAATGATGTTTAGTGAATCTTTAGATACTACCTGTGTTTTATAATTTAAAAAGCACAAAAGTATTTTTTGTTATAAAATGTAATCTTATTTGGAAATAAATACTCCTATCAAGTTTGGGAAAGAAAGTATTAATGGATGAATTCTAAAAATGCCAATTCTGCACCTGATGTTAACTTGGGGCTATAAATAACGTGCAGAACACTCTAGTGCTTTACATAGTTTCAAGCATTTTCATCTTTAAGTTTAATATACCATATTTTTACATTTTTTTGTTTGCATTTCTAACTTTTTGTTTTCCCCCCTCCTTCCCTCAAATGTTTTGATGATTCTCCAGAACCAACGAAACGTATGCTTTCCTTCCAAGGGTTAGCTGAGTTGGCACATCGAGAATATCAGGCAGGAGATTTTGAGGCAGCTGAGAGACACTGCATGCAGCTCTGGAGACAAGAGCCAGACAATACTGGTGTGCTTTTATTACTTTCATCTATACACTTCCAGTGTCGAAGGCTGGACAGGTAGGAGATGTGGGGGTATCTGCTGGTGATTGCTGCCTCTGGGTGCTGAGCTTGAAAAATGATACTTAAATGTTTGAACCTGGAATTTTTCCATTACTGGGTATCAGCTGAGCCACCAACACACATCTGCTCTCTTGCTGACTTGTGACGTACCCAGCTGCCAGTTTTCCTCCCTACTTTTGTGTGGTGGTGGTTATATTGTCAGTATGACTAGGGACCTCTTCTAGATTTTTCCACCTGGCTCTGCTGCTTTCTAACTCTGTTCAGGCGATAAATTATTCTTAGTGTACGTCTGAGTATCCAGTCTCATCACTAAGACTTGTCAGCTTTAAGGACTGAGATGCTCAGAAATGATAGTGTGTATGTCGTAGGCAGTGTATATGTGGTTCAGGTTGCAAATGCTGTCATTAACTTGAGATGTATTGCTTTTAGCTAATCAGTTGTATCATCAAAAGGGAAAACTTTGTGTTCTTGTCTTTTTAATAAATTGTCATTCTGGCTTATTTAGACATTTGAAGATGTGCGTCATTAAATCTTAATCAACAAATGGAAAATGAGACTCATGCGCATAGCGTTTCATTCTTGATCTTAATGATCGTAAGTTGCAATGTGGTAGTTTGGTAATAAGACTAATAAGAATTGTATCTAGTAAGAAAAATTTGAAATTTTTGACATTTGAAATCTGGACTACTTCTACTTTTGAAAGACTTGCATAAATTTTCCTGCTATGAATTAGTTAAAAGGTAACATTGTTACATAATTACCAATAGCATAGGCTCTTCAGAAACTATTTAAGTCATATACGGGCCCTATCTTCTTTTCTGTATATAACACATACCCAAGCAGCAACACTTTTTGCCTTTTCCAGATCTGCTCACTTTAGCACTCTGGCAATTAAACAGAACCCTCTGCTAGCAGAAGCCTATTCGAATTTGGGGAACGTGTACAAGGAAAGAGGGCAATTGCAGGAGGCAATTGAACATTATCGACATGCCTTGCGTCTCAAACCTGATTTCATCGATGGTTATATTAACCTGGCAGCTGCATTAGTAGCAGCAGGCGACATGGAAGGGGCAGTACAAGCTTACGTCTCTGCTCTTCAGTACAATCCTGTGAGTAAAATTTTAATGGCTATTTTCCCTTCACAGAAACCCAGCAGCAGTTTGATACTAAGAGGCTTTTGCATGGAATAGTCAAGAGTTTAGAAATGTTTGTGTACTTCAAATGGTGAAATTGTTTTGACCTGGTCTAACCTATGTTTAAAAGAATCATTTTATATTGCAAGTTAAACTTAAAAAAAAAACCCTAAGAATTATTGTTATTGCATAATATTCTACATCAGGCTCTAAAAAAAAATTATTTGGGGCCAATGTTGTGGTGCAGTGGATTAAGCTGTTGCCTGCAACACTGGCATCCCATATGAGCAAGCAGTAGTTCCAGTTCTGGCTGCACCAGTTCCAATCCAACTCCCTGCTAATGTGCCTGGAAAGGCAGCAGAAGATGATGCAAATGCTTGGGCCCCTGCACCCATGTGGGAGACCTGGATGGAGTTCTATGCTCCTGGTTTAGGCCTGGCCCAGCCCTGGCTGTTGTGGCCATTTTGCAAGTGAACCAGCAGATGAAAGATCTAAGATCTATCTATCTATCTATCTTCCTGTCTGTCTGTCTTACCTATCTGTCCCTCCCTCCCTCCCTCTGTCCCTCTCTCCCTCTCCCCCCTCCCCCTTCCTGTCTCTCCCTCTCTCTCCCTCCTTCCCCCTCTCCCTCTCTCCTCCCTCCCCCTCTCTCCCTCCCTTTCTTTCCCCCCCTCCCTCCTCCTCTCTCTCCTCCTCCCCCTCTCCCTCTGTCCCTCCCTCCATCTCTTTTTTCTCTCTCCGGAACTCCGCCTTTCATATAAATAAATCTTTAAAAATTTTTTTTGAGAGGCAGAGTGAGCACATACAGCATGCTTCCCCCAGAACCAGGAGTTAGGAACTCGACCCAGATTTCCCACTTGAGTGGCAAGATCCCCATTACTTGGGTCATCGCTGCTGCCTCCCAGGGTCTGGATTAACGGTAGCTGGATCCAGGAGTTGGGGCCAAGAATCGAACCCAGGCATCCCAATGTGGGATATAGGTGTCTTAATCACTAGGCTAAATGCCTGCAGTCCTCCTATTAGCAATTTTTTTTATTATACTCATAAAGTAAATGGCATGTGAACCTTGTTTCTTTAAGCTGTTTTGATTAACTTTGGATAAGTTCTGATAGGCATTTGTAACAATTCATTGAATTTTATGGGATGATGGGTAAAGGGTCTTAATCTGTAATGTAAAATTATTAGGTGGCAATATATGGATTAGTAGATAGGAAAACTAGGTTCAAAATTTATTCCTCAATATTCTGTTCTCTTTTCTTTCAACGTAATTAGAAGTGGTGGAATTGAGGCGGTAGTGTGCACACCAGGCTTTTGATTGCTTCTTCAAATTTTTTTTTCCCTAAGATGCAGATGTGCTGTGGGGAGTGAGTCCCAGTTGGCAGACATTAAGTTCATACTGTGTTAGGGTCTCTGAAAGATACAAAAATGTAAGACTTGTCCTCAGAAATTTGATGTAGAGAAGGTAAGTGTAAATTTAAAAGGTAGTGAGGGGTTCTAAGGAATCCAGAAAGAGTTTAAGAATATATTCTTAAGCTTTGTTGTCTGCATTCAGTTTTGTAGCTACTCTGGAAACGGTTAATAGTTATAACTATTATAGCTACCATTTATTGAAAGTGTACTGTGTTCAAACATTGTGCTAACCACTCCAGATGATTGGTCTTACTTACTCCTCACAGTGATCCTTCAAATTGGTAGATGGGATTATTTCCAGTTTCTTTATCAATTTTTTTAGAAAACACAGAGTCAGATTATGTGACATTTTGGGGATCACCCAGCAAATAATGGTGAAGTGGATGTTAAAACCTCAGCCTGAATACCTTCAAAGAAAGTGTTGAAACAGAAAAAATTAAAAAGGGCATATTGTGCCCAGAGGGCACCTACCCTCAAAAGACAGCCCTTGAAAACAGTTTGCAAACCAGTCATATCCTGCTGTCCCTAAGTCCCCATTTTAGAGGTTAGGAAGCTGAGACTTAGTAATTTGCTTAAAGATCCAAAGTCATTACGACATCAGTTAACAATTTTTTTAGTTAATTTCGAGAGCTTATATTTTATAATTTGAGAGTTTATATTTTTTCTTCATTGCTTTTTAAAAAATTTATTTGAAAGACACAGTTACTGAGAGTTGTAGAGCCAGAGAGAGAGAGAGAGGTCTTCCATTTGCTAGTTCACTCCCCAATTGGCCACAAGGGCTGGAGCTGCGCCGATCCGGAGCCAGGAGCATCTTCCAGGTTTCCCATGTGGGTGCAGGGGCCCAAGCACGTGAGCCATCTTCCACTGCTTTCCCAGGCCATAGCAGAGAGCTAGATTGGAAGAGGAGCAGCCAGGACTAGAACCCATGCCCATATAGGATGCTGGTACCGCAGGTGGAGGATCAACCTACTATGCCATGGCGCTGGCCCCTTATTCATTGCTTTTTTTATGGATATAGTGAACAGTCACAGTTACCATTCTTGGTAATGAAATGATTTTCTTAGGTATCCTTTCAGAGATACTCTGTGTAGTTTGTGTAAATTTGAGTGGCTTTTGTAATTTTTACTGCAGTACTATCTAGCTAGTTACTCACAGAAAGTTCTAGGGAATCTTATGTGCTGCCACAGTGCTTAAACCGTTATTACCAAGACCCAGGGCTCACCTGTGTACCCAGTTTGTTAAAGTAGTTCTTTCCCTTCATTAATCAGGGCTGCTTCCGTCTTTCACTTGTTGATTGAGTGTGAATGTCCTTGTGCCCTCTTGCCAACCAGTGGTCTTGATTAACTTTAGCTTAGGTTTTCAGTTGCCTGTACGTGTAGCAGAGCGGTCATTGCTGTTGACAATATTCCGAACTATAGGACTATATTAAGGGAAGAAGAAAGTGGGAGACAGAACCATGCTAATTAACATCTAACCTGTTAACAGGAAGCTGATCATTGTGCCCTACCAAAGAAGTGAGATACAGTATTAAAATAAATCATTAATTACCTCTTGAAGACACTGAACAGCCTCATAGTCCCACCTAGTTTTATGTTTAATCTGTTGCTTTATTTCTGTTTTTACCAGAAAGAGTAAAATGGGATTGTACAAACTCCCTTGATTTCTAATTATACCACGGTGATTCTGTTTTATTTCAGGATATCTAGTCTTAACTAGATTTTAACTCCCTGTCAGATGCTTGTTGTCAATTCAATACTGACAGAATCTTGAGTCTGTTCCTTACCTGTGTTCTTGTTGACAGTGTTTAAATGCCTCATGCATCGTGGGCCTGAATCATAGGGTTATTTTGGTTTTGCAGCAGTGAAAAGGTGAAATGTTAAGGTAGTATTTATCTTTTTAAGTTAATAGGTCTACGTAGAAGTTACTCCCTGTGACTTGATTCTAGAAATTACCTCTAAACCGTAGAGCTGTTTCATGTTTTTACATTCTGTATTGTCTTCTGTAACACTGGATGGTTTAAAACTGTTGCTAAAATTTTAGTCTTTTCGAAGATGCTGTTGCTGCTGGTGTGTTTTCACATGATGGCTCAGTACAGTTACCCATACTCAGCAATTGCTTTCATGATGAGCATAAAATTGTCCTGTCTAGAGCAACTGTTTCTGAATCTATAGGTTGTTGAGCCATTGCTTCTGCTTGGATTGTGGATGCACAGCACTGAGAGCTGCTGTTGTCCTGCCCATCATGTGTTAACTGTCACATTATTTATTACTGTCATGAGCCTCACATCCACAGCTGAACTGTAGAAAACCCATGTACTTCTTTTCCTCTCTGTTCTGCTTTTTGTTAAGGTTATCTTGTAAATGTCACATTTAAATGTTTGCCTGCTTATTGTGTGTACAGTGCTTTGTTAAGTTTGGGTAAAGTTTTGGGCTATAATATGAGACAGGACCTGACTTATAAAGGAAAAAAATGTGTAAGTTCCTCAGATGATTATTGTTGGAGAGTATTAATCAGGCGATTTCTTCGAGTGGGTGCTTATAACCTAAGCATTCTGTAGGAAGGTAAATAGCAAGTAGACTTCCTTGGCTGAAGTGGTGAGTCAAGTAGTAACAAGAAGTGAGTGTAGTAGAAGAGAGTCAATTGGAAGGTTTAAAGAATAGAGAGGCTGAGGAGTCTGAATTTAATTTGAGAGGCCATTGAGAACTACCATAGGTTTCTTATCTATCTCATTTTACTTCACTTTATATATGGTACATAAATGTTAAAGGTGGCAGCAAGGGGGTCGCTGTAGGAGGAAAGACAGGAAATGGATGTGATTTTAGGAAGGGTAGTTATATAGGAAAATCTTATTTTCTTCTTATGATTTTCCTTGTTTACAAGGCCCTTTTCTGTTAAAACTGTATTCAACCTTCATGATCCAGCTTAAACTTCTCCTTTGTGCTCATCTTTTTCACTAAAATTCTTAAAACACTATGTGGGCATTTGGTATATGCATACCTTGTCTTTCCATATACATTGTAAGCCCCTTAATAATGAGGACTCTGTTAAATTTCTTTTCCTTCTAGTCCCAGGCATATTGTTGACTAAAGATTTGCATGAAAGGTATTAACTTGGGATGGGTAGGATGGGCTAGGTTTGAGAAATGTGATTCTCTTAGCAGGTACAGTTTTGATTTGACAGGTGAAGCAGAATTTGATGTGTTTTTTTTTTTTTTAAAGATTTATTTATTTGAAAGAGTTAGAGAGAGAGAGGGGAGTAGGGGAGGGAGAGCTCCCATCTGCTGGTTCACTCCCCATATGCCTGCAGTGGTGCTGGAACAGGGCCGAGAATGAAGCCAGGAGCTTCTTGCAGGTCTCTTAAATGGGTGCAGGGGCCCGAGTGCTTAGCAGGGAGCTGGATTGGAAGTGGAGCAGCTAGTACTTGAACCTCTGCCCATATGGGATACTGGTGTCCCTGGTCATGGCTTAACCTACTACGTCACAGCGTTGGCCCCATCATAGGTTTTGGATTTTGGGGAGAATGGTGGTATCCTTGTATTTTTTAAAAAATATTTTATTTATTTATTTGAAAGGCAAAGTTACCGAGAGGCAGAGGCAGACAGAGGTCTTCCATTTGCTGGTTCACTCCCCAAGTGGCTGCAGTGGGCAGAGCTGGGCCAGTCTGAAGCCAGGAGCCGGGAGCTTCTTCCAGGCCTCACATGTGAGCCCAGGGGCCCAAAGACTTGGGCCATCTTCCACTGCATTTCCAGGCCATAGCAGAGAGCTGGATGGGAAGTGGAGCACCCGAGCCTCGAAGTGGCACGCATATGGGATGCTGGCACTGCGGGTGTCAGCTTTACCTGCTACACCACAGTGCTGGCCCCAAGTATTTTAACTGTGGGTATTTTGTTAACTTGATTTAGTATGCTGTAATGGACCCAGATGATATAACTGAATCTATAGATAGGTATACTTTCAGAACTTGGATAACATCCATCCAAGAGCTTTATAGAAACTAGAGGGTAAAATTATGCAACAGTTGGCTAAAATGTATAGTCAATTATGGTCATTGTTGGAGAATTATTGCAAGACTTCTGATTATTATGGCTCAGAAAAGGCCTAGGGGTTGGTAAAAGTCCAAAGATAGAACTGTAATTATCAAGTAGTAGATTGGATTATTCAGTCAGTCTGCCAAAACAGAGGGCTAACCCTTAAAGTTTAGGGGAAAAAGAGCTGTAGAAAATAGCAAGATTATAGTTTCATTACTTCTGAGAGTATAAATAGGGTTAAAAAGTACGTATTAGGGTGTGGGTGTTTGGTGCAGCAGTTAAGATGCTGCTTGAGATGCCCACATACCATATTGGAGTGCGTGGGTTCAAGGCCCAGCTCTGCTTCCTGTTCCAGCTTCCTACTAATGTGAGTTCGTGTTACCTACGTGGGTGACTCGGATTGAGTGCTCAGCTCCTGACTTGTGCCTGGCTCAGCTTGGATTTTGGGGGGCATTTGGGGTGGGAAGCAGCAGATGGGAGAGTTCTATGTCTTTTTTTTGTCTCTGTCTGCCTTTCAAATAAATAAATTTAACAAAAGTGCTTATTACACTAATTGGAGGAGGGTAAGTTTATAATATAATATTAGTAGTACCTGTGATGGTGTTTTGAGGATTAGAATTGACTTTTTGTGCTTGAGATTGTGGGAGACAACCAGACTCTCCCACAACAATGGTCATTGCTTGAGGGACAGCAGTAAGTCCGGCAGGTAGGGAGCTGACCTGCTACACCTACCGTGAGTGTGAGTGTTCTGTGGCAGCCTGTATTTTGTTGGCAGACTTTTGGGTTTGCCTTAATGGATGATAATATATAACCACAAAAGCTGTTGATCAGTAAAATTAATCAACTGGTTCTGGAAACCATAATACAGTGGCAGGGAGAATAATATACATGAGGATTCTTTGGCACAGTTGACAAAATTTCACTTTCTAGGACTTAATTTAAGGCTTTCACCCACAGAGCAGTTTGGAACGATAAGCATGCTTCCGATTGCCATTATCTCTGCTTGTTGACTGATACATTCTACCGACAAAGGCAAACTAGGGCAAATAAAATTTGAGCTTGCTGTTCTAATGAGTGTCTCACACTGATGAACGGACGGCTGAGTCAGATGACTAGCACCACCATTGAGCTGCTAATAAAAAGCAGAGTCAACGGCTTTTCATTATTCACCCACTCAACTCTAATGGTACTTAATACTAATGAGGAATCTAGTGGCAGGTGCCAGGACTGAGGCTTTGGTTGGATGGTAATCCTTCGGCACAAACATGAAGTGAAGTCAAGGTTTCTGAATATGCCTGGCACCCTAAGGGTAGGTTTGCTTGTAGGTAATCACGTGCTAAATAGAGTACTGTTTTTCTGCTGTGGAAAATTTTCAGCCCTTGTTACTGGAGTGATTCATCAGAACCTTGAATAAAACAGTTGAATAAGTGTTTTTTGCTTGCTTGCTTGCTTGCTTGTTTGAAATTACTGACATTTGGAAATAGGAGACACTTTAGTAAGGTCCCAGTGTCTTTTTGTCTGGAACTGGTAGGGCCAAATCCTTTTCAACATTTCAGATTTCTTTGGATTTTAGAAAGCTAAGTATGCCATACGTAAAACTCTCCATCAGATCTGGAGCAGTACCTTACAGTAAAAGACACTTTATAATTTTGCAGCAAAAGACAGGAGTATTCATACTAGGTGAGATGTGCAGGCACATTCTATAAATAGCTTCTTGTCAGTTCGGATCAGGTTTACCCAGCACATGAGTATTTGGAACTTTCCGGGGTTTGGAATTGCGGATGGCAGATGGTGGTCATGCACTTGAGTTGGTCAGGCAGCATTTTTACTTGCACGAAGACAATTGCGGGGAGCCAGGTACATAAAAGTGATTACAAGATCGTTTTGATTCACGAAGCAGAGTATAATTAATGACGGTGTGTCTCTGGGCTTCTAGGATTTGTACTGTGTTCGCAGTGACCTGGGGAACCTGCTCAAAGCCCTGGGTCGCTTGGAAGAAGCCAAGGTAGGTGTTTGATAAAACACACTTACACATCAGTGTTAAGGAAACTTGTCCTTTTTGCCAAGTCTTCAACTCTTCATTGAGCTATCTTCACAAAACAGTCCTATGAAACTGAGGAAAACTGACGGCATGACTCGCCTCAGACTAGAGCAGGGCCAGCCTTTGGCGTATCTGTTCTAAATCTGGGGATAAAGCAAGACCCTGAACATTGTGGAGCCTTTCTGCTGAGCTAGATCAACTTTATAACAATGGGCTCCGTCATGATCTTATGTGGGAATAAATAACATTCCTTCAAATCTGAGGCTTGCCTGCTGGTGACAAGCAGAGCGCCTGTGGTTTGGCTCAAGACTCCTATATGATGCAGGTGCCATTGAAAATGCTGCTCTTCTAAGTCCTTTGTGGCTTGTAAGTGGAGAAGAATTTCATCCAAATGTTACCCTGTAATACTGGCATTTAAAATTCTTATTTAACCTTCCTCCCTTCATCTTCCTCACCCTTTTTACAGTGGAAGAAAGGCTGTTAAAATGATTGTAAATTGATAATTGGAAAATCCTGCCCCTTGTCCTCATTCCCTCCCCCCAAGTTCCTTTTTCCTCTTCCAATTCTAGTTGTCTACCTTCTTTTCTCCCTTACTTCCTTCTTTATTCCTCCCCACCCCACCTCCTGAAAACAAAAAGTCAGAAGGACAAAGCTGGTTTGTTTGGGAAATGGACTGATCGAAAGAAAACTTGCCAAAGTGGAAAGGTGGCTTTTAGCATTCTGTGTTTCCAAATAATGAATTTGAACACCAGGTTGGGTTAATTAAAGCTTTTGGTATCATTTAAAATTAAATTTATAAATGCAGTTGTCTTGTTACAAGCCACCTTACGCAACCGCGCTGCAGGGGTGAGGAGTGGGGAGAAACCAGAATGCTTCTGAAACTCCCACCTGTTGCTCTGAGCCCCACGCGCATGCTAATGCGTGGAGTGTATGCGCAGCGTAGCTGTCTGTTTGACTGCTTCATCCAGGGAGGGAGAAGGCTTTTCAGCACCAGCTAATGCTAAAAGGCACTAGTTTTCAGTGCATAGCTCTCATAAATTCTGCTGACACTTTGGATTAACCTTATGTAGGTTTCCAGCTACTGAATTGTAATTGATTTCAATCTTAGCTGATGAATCTAATTGGTAATTTAGAGAACAAATATTTGATAAGCTCCTATTAATTGTCACCCCACCAAGCGGACAGCTAACATGAATTGCACTTCACTGCAGCTTTAGAGATCGGTTTAGGCTGAGACATTGCGCCTGCCTTAGGTTGCTGACTTCTTTATTTCAGAGCTCTGGAGACACCTAGTTTGAAAAATGTTATTCTGTTTTTTTGTGAGAACTTAGTAAACAAGAAAATACTCTTGAGTGAAATGCAATGTATTTCTTTTGTAATCAGTGCATTTGAAAATTCAAGCCAGCATATTCCTAGTAGTTGGAAGCAAAATTAAGTTGTCTTTGTAGAAAACGAAGAGCCTTTCTTCCAGCAAAAATCCCTGCTGTATGCAATAGCCCTGATTAACCCTCTCCCTTCTGCATGTTTCCCATGTTACAGACTTGAGACTGTCCTCATTCCCATATGTAATAGACATCCAAAGAATTTCAATTGCTTTGTTGAACTTTTACTAATGATCTTGTTTTTATTTTCTCTCTTGTTTTTGGTTTTTCACCATTGATATTGTATTTAGAAGGTTTCAGGTGGGTGAAACCTCCTATTCCATGCGTAAGGTGCCTCGCTGAAGGGAGCTCGAGGCCTGGATCTAGGGCAGACACACAACCTCCTCCTCCTCTTCCAGCAAGGAACGCACCGAAAAGTCACATGATGAGAAATATGGTAACGGGTTTGTAACTGCCACAGCAAAACAATTTGCCTCCATGCCTGAATCTTCTGTCTTGTGGCTTCAGAAACAGCTTAAAATGATTTTATTTACAAGCAAGTTATGTAAGAGAATGTTTTATACTATAGCCACAATTCTGTCAAAAATAAGTAAAAGTTAATTAAGATATTAAAATTATTAGAGATAATTTACTAGTAAAAGCTTCTAACTCTTCTTGTTGTTCATTTTTTTTTCCTTTTTTCTTCTTTGTTTGGATTGCAGCATTCTGCTCTTCTGATGATGCGCTGTGACCCTGCAGTAGCGCAAAGGCTGCGCAGCGTTAATGCGCATTGCGTGCGAATGAGCCCCTGTGAACGGTTGACTAGATGAGTAATCTGATTGACTGGCTCCCTGAGTCCTATTCTGTAGCCGTTTTGGATAAAATTGGGTTTTAACATACCTCGAGTCCAACTAATCTCATTAAACAAATATTCTCTGTGGGCCTGTCTAGTAGATTAATGGATCTGGTTGGCCGTTTGCTGCGTCTAGGGGTGTTCTATGTAGCGCAGCAGTTCGCAGCGATTGCGCAGTGCGATGCTGTTAGGTTGCGCAAGCGATGTTTGCGCTCGCATTACAGGGACCTCAACCTAGGTGCAGTCCTGTCATGTGAGGTTTCAGCTTCAGTCCTCCTTGGCAGACAGGGCATCGTGACGACGTAACTGACAAGCCTGCCTTTAGGATACCCCACTCGGCAGAAAAACGGTTTTCTCCTCAGTAGCACAGTTCTGATGTTAGTGAGGAACATTTTGCTGAGAGCAGCATTTCCCAAAATGTGTTTCATAGTATTTTAAGAAACGCTCGATGAAAGAAGAGTTCCATGGTCAACTAAATTCAGGGAATCCTATAAATACTATTAGAGGCTTATGGAAGACCGGTAGCAGAGAAACCTGTTTGCTGATCTCCTAATTTATTTGATCATGAAATCCTTTTTTGCCTTGTGATACCTCTGGTAATACCTGGTAGAACACACTTTAGGAAATGGTGAGAGTAGGAAACTTGGGCTTGAGTGGTGCCCCCTAGCGATCACTTGAAGACATACTAGCCCTTAGGTGTTTATCATTGATCATTGTTTGGCAGAACTGAACATGGTGGTTTGCACTTGGGTTCTGGTGGCGCAGGCGCAGGAGCAGCCAGCTGTGGCAGCGCATTAGTTTTGGCGCAAGCGAGCCTATGCTGCAGGGTCACTTTTGACTGGTCAGAGAAGGAATAATGATATCACCTTCTTTCCCCCTCCCCAATCTTTTTTTTTTCCCCTTTAAAATTTTCCCCTTTCCCTTTACCTTCTTCCCCTCCCATCTTCTTTCATTAACCCCTCCTAAGGCCTGTTATTTGAAAGCAATTGAGACGCAACCAAACTTCGCAGTAGCTTGGAGTAATCTTGGCTGTGTTTTCAATGCACAAGGGGAGATTTGGCTTGCAATTCATCACTTTGAAAAAGTGAGTAATCAGACTGATCATTAGTGTTTTTTAAATGCTTATAATATGTTTAGAGTGTTTTTACTAGAACTAAATAGTAGGTCTTTGTTTCTCTGACATTGTGGTATTTGTTGGGTAGTATATGGTATGGCAGGCTCAGTTTAGCTTTGAGAATGTACCTTGGTAATTAAAAGTTTTTGTTTGTTTATTATTTAAAGAATTTTTAAAAAATTTATTGATTTGAAAGGCCGAGAGGCAGACAGAGATCTTCCATCTGCTGGCTCACTCCCTGAATGGTTGTAACGGTTGAAGCCAGGAGCCTGGAACTCCACTGAGGTGTCTTGCATGGATGGCAGGGGCACCAAGCACTTGGGCCATCTTCCTCTGCTTTTCCCAGATCCATGAGTAGGGAGCAGGATCTAAAGTGGAGCAACTGGGACTCTCAAACTGGCACTCATGGGATACTGGCTTCACAAAAAGTGACTTAAAGCTGCTATGCCACAATGCTGGTCCCAGGTGTTTTTTGTTTTTTAAAGATTTATTTATTTATTTGAAAGTCAGAGTTACACAGAGAGAGAAGGAGAGGAAGAGAGAGAGTCTTCACTTGCTGGTTCACTCCCCAATAGGCTGCAATGGCTGGAGCTGCATGGATCCAAAGCCAGGAGCTTCTCCACATGGGTGCGGGGACCCAGGGACTCAGGCCATCTTCTGTTGCTTTCCCACGCCATAGCAGAGAGCGGGATCAGAAGTGGAGCAGCTGAGACTTGAACCGGTGCTCATATGGGATGCTGACACTGCAGGTGGAAGCTTTACCTGCTATGCCACAGCGCTGGCTCCCCCAGGTGTTTTTCAAGTGGGCAGCTTTACCTTAAAAGAAGTCCTTGGGCCCCTGTACCCACATGGGACACCTGGAAGAAGCTCCTGGCTCCTGGCTTGGGATCAGCTCAGCTCCGGTTGTTGGGGTCATTTGCAGAGTGAACCAGCGGATGGAAGACCTTTCTCTATTTTCTGGCACTACCTCTCTCTGTAACTTTTATCTTTGAAATAAATAATTCTTTTCAAAAAAGGTGAGTTTCTAAATCAAAAAGCTGATTCTGCCTCTGGAGCAGAAAATGTAAAATTTGCCTGGAATATTTTGTCATACCAGAAAACAAGGAAGCTGTAATATATTACTTTGATTGTGTCTGAAGAATTCAGGAAGCAGCTTGATGAGGTTCCCACTGGCTAAGGATGGGACTGGAGCATCAATAGGAATAAGAACTAAAAAATACATTAAAGCTTATCAGATATGTTTAGGTCCATGAATTCATAATCACACTAAAAATATTGTTCACCTTTGGAGAATGATAAGTAACAACTCATAAAAACTGGTTGAAAAAAGAATAATGAATATTTTGAGAAGCTCCATACTGTTTACTACAATGGCTGTACCAGTTTACATTCCTATCATTAGTGTACAGGGGTTTCCTTTAATCTATATCTCACCAGTGCTTATAGTGTCCTTTTGATGACAGCTATTCTAACAGGTGTGAGGTCATTTGTGTCTCCATGATTAATAAGATAAACATTTACTTTCAAAGGATTTATTTACTTTGAAAGAGTTACAGAGATAGACACTGGGGAGAGGGAGAGAGATCTTCGATCCACCGCTTTACTTCCTAAATGGCTGCAATGGGGCTGGCCAGGCTGAAGTCAGGAGCCTAGAATCTGGGTCTCTCACGTGAGTGGTAGGAGCCCAAGTACTCCGGCCATCTTCTGCTGCCTTCCCAGGCACATTAGCATAGAGCTGGATTGGAAGTGGAGCAGCTAGGACTCGAACCTGTGCCCATATGGAATGCTGGTGTTATAAGCAGTGGCTTAACCTGCTGTGCTATAACACTGGCCCCAATTATCTTTTCTGAGAAATGTCTGTTAAGACACTTTGCCCAGTTTTTTTTTAATTAATTTATTTGAAAGTCAGAGGTAAAGAGACTAGAAGAGGCAGAGAGACAGAGAGATCGATCTTCCATCCACTGGTTCATTCCCCAGATGGCCACAGCAGCCAAGGCTGGGCCAGGCTGAAGCCAAGAGTTGGGAGATTTTTGCTGATCTCCCACATGGATGCAGGGGCTCAAAGACTTTGGCCATATTTTGCTGCTTTCCCAGGCACATTAGCAGGGAGCTGGATTGGAAGTGGAGCAGCCAGGATTGGAATTGGTATCACAAGTGGTAGCTTAAAAAAGATTTGATTTGGGGCCGGCGCTGGGCATAGTAGGTAAAGCTGCCGCCTGCAGTGCTGGCATCCCCTATGGGCGCCAGTTCGAGTCCTGGCTGTTCCACTTCTGATCTAGCTCTCTGCTGTGGCCTGGGAAAGCAGTAGAAGGGGGCCCAAGAGCCCCTGCACCTGGGTGAGAGACCCAGAAGAAGCTCCTGGCTCCTGGCTCCTGGCTCCCGGCTTCAGATCAGCGCAGCTCTGGCCGTTGCAGCCAGTTGGGGAGTGAACCAGCGGATGGAAGACCTCCCTCTGCCTCTGCCTCTGCCTCTCTGTGTAACTCTGACTGAAAGATTTATTTATTTGAAAGGCAGAGTTTGAGGGGGGAGGGAAGAGGGAGATATCCATCTTCTATCTGCTGGTTCACTCCCCAAATGTATGCAGTGGCCAGACTAAAACCAGTGGGTCAGGCCAAAACTAGAGGTGCCAGGAACTTCATCTGGGTCTCTGACGTGGATGACAGGGCCCCAAGTACTTGACCATCATCTGCTGCCTTCCTAGGCACGTTAGCAGAAAGCTGGGTCAGAGGTGGAGCTGGTGGGACTCCAACTAGCACTCAGATATGGGATATTGGCATCATAAGTGATAAGTTAACCCACAGAGCCACAGTGCCAGCCCCTCAAAAGCATTCTTGTCCCTGAGATACATATTGAAATATTTTCAAGTGGAATGATATGTTTTAGAATTGTGTCAAATGATATGGGAGGGGAGAGTAGCAGATTGGAATATATATTAAATGTGATTGAATATGATTTATGAATTGTTGAAGATACGGGCTTGGGAGGTTGCAATGTTTCTTTTGCTTTTGTATGAAAATTTCTGACTCAGTAAAATTGAAGCAGACTCAAATTTTTAATTTTTCCCTTCAGGATCCATTTTCTTCATGAGAACATGAGTTTTGTTAAGTTATTTTGATAACACTGAGGTTTGTAAATAATAAGAAGGTACTAAATAATCAGACTTTAAAATAAGGTTTACTTATATTAGAAAGTTAATTGGAGGTCTAAAATGACCTTAGAATAAAATTATAAGTTAATCTAGCAAAGTCTTAACTTCTCTAAGTAATTGTTCTGTACTTTTTAGGCTGTCACCCTTGATCCAAATTTTCTGGATGCATATATCAATTTAGGAAATGTCTTGAAAGAGGCACGTATTTTTGACAGGTGAGAGAGTATTCTATTTGATAAATTCTCGAGTCTTCATTATTTTGAAATTATGACAATGATGGCTGAAATGTTTTTTTCTAGTATGTTTTTCCATGCTTTGTGATGTCTGCTGTGTTACCTTTTATTTATAGATATCAGTGCCTGAGTTTTCTTTGTTGGCTCTCATAGCCATCGCTCATCTCATTGAGAGTTCAATTGAAATTCCCTTGATTGTTAAACTATTGAAATGCTGATCTCTTAGACTGTTATTCCTTTTTTTTTTTTAAAAAAAAGATTGATTTATTTACTTAAGAATTACAGAGAGAGAGGGAGAGACAGAGATCTTCCATCTGCTGGTTCACTCCCCAGATGACTGCAACAGCTAGAGCTGGACTAGGCCGAAGCCAGGAACTTTATATCTGAGTCTCCTACATGGGTGCAGGAGCCCAAAGACTTGGGCTATCTTCTGCTTTCCCAGGCCATTAGCAGAGAGCTGGATTGGAAGTGGAGTAGCCAGGACTCAAACCAGTACCAATAAAGGATGGCAGACTTCTCAGGTGGTGGCTTTACCTGCTATGCCACAATGCTTGCCCCTAAATTATTCCTTTGATCTGATTCAGAAAGCTACATAAATCCTGACCTTTTGTTGTCAAAGCATAGCCTGTTTCTTACATGGGAATAGATAACATATCTTAGTGTAAGACTACCTTTTATGAAGATGGGATTTTGGTTTGAGGTATAGTATAGAATAGATTAATTATAATTAATTATATGTTTTGGTATAGTATAGCCTGAATTAATTGTAACAAAGCATTGATTAAAGATTAGTTGCATTTTGTGTGTGTGTGTGTGTGTGTTTTTTATTTTTGTTTTTTACAGAGCTGTGGCTGCTTATCTTCGCGCCCTAAGCTTGAGTCCAAATCATGCAGTGGTGCACGGCAACCTGGCTTGTGTGTACTATGAGCAAGGCCTGATAGATCTGGCAATAGATACCTACAGGCGAGCTATTGAACTGCAACCACATTTCCCTGATGCTTATTGCAACCTAGCCAATGCTCTCAAAGAGAAGGGCAGTGTAAGGATTTTTACTCAGTCTATTTCTTTGTTATCTGGTAGGATTAAGAAAGTTTTTTTGTACATATTGTAATTGAGTACTGATATGGTTATATTGATCTGCTTTGGAGTTTTGGTTGATGGGAAGAATATTGGAAAATACCCATTTGCTGGAGTATTATCAGCTGTTAGGCTTTACTAGGCAATTGTAAAAATTGCTAAAACAGTATATCAGTGGTAGCTGTATGATTCTTCTGCATAGTGTTTGAATAGTTTGTTTTGTTTTCTAGGTTGCTGAAGCAGAGGATTGTTATAATACCGCACTCCGTCTGTGTCCCACCCATGCTGACTCTCTGAATAATCTAGCGAATATCAAGCGAGAACAGGGAAACATTGAAGAGGCAGTTCGCTTGTATCGTAAAGCATTAGAAGTATGTTGAGGGTGCTGTGGCTGGGTATTTAGTCTGTGTGATAGTAGAGGGAAAGCAGTGAAGCTTATCATGTCTTTTACTACTTTTCATAAAAGTAGAAGTGGTTGAATCATTTAAAAGGGTGTTACTTGTTGAACTACACATTGAGTATCAAAAGTATGATGTGAAGTCCTGTGTGACATTCAAAAAAAGAAAATCCCTGTGTTCAGAATTCATTATTTTATGGATAGATAAGATCTCCCCCCCCCCCAATAGTGGAATGGTAAGTCACAGTTCAAGAGAAGTTACCAATAAATAAATAAGTTTGGTGCCTAATGGCTGTTGGTAGGTGGGGTAGGGGCTTGGAACAGAGAGATTTTGATGGTGCTTGAGTGGTCAGCATAAACTCAGAGGAGAGGTCTACTGCATTATGTTGGAAACAAAGGGAGATACAAAATAGAGGAAGAAGCAGAATTTGAGCTACTAGGCCTTGAATGAGTAGACCTAGACAGAGAAAGCAAAGAGGAGTTTAGTGGTATAAAAGTACTTGAGCAATATTCTTAAGATTGTGGTGAATTATTACTGCTGTTTTAGCAGGTTTTTTTTTTTGTTTAAAATAAAATTTAATTATGATTTTGACTCATTTATAGGTCTTCCCAGAGTTTGCTGCTGCCCATTCAAATTTAGCAAGTGTATTGCAGCAGCAGGGAAAATTGCAGGAAGCTCTGATGCATTATAAGGAGGCTATTCGGTAAGAAACTCTCAACTTTTTCTTAAAAATTACAGTTTTTAAAAATGGCCTTTGGCAAGTGTAAAATGGCTTTTAATAACAATAAGGTAACATTACAAAGGGTTAAAGGTTTTTGTACTAGAAAAATAAATCCTTTGTCTTCTCCTTTAGAATCAGTCCTACTTTTGCTGATGCCTATTCTAATATGGGAAATACATTGAAGGAGATGCAGGATGTTCAGGGAGCCTTGCAGTGTTATACTCGTGCTATCCAGATTAACCCAGCATTTGCAGATGCTCATAGCAATCTGGCTTCCATTCACAAGGTATTGCTGTTTACTATGATACGTGCATCTTAGCACCTATTAATTTTTGTAGGTATTAATTTTAAGGAATTTTTTTTACCTTGCCATTTTTTAATTTCCAGGATTCAGGGAATATTCCAGAAGCAATAGCTTCTTACCGTACAGCTCTGAAACTTAAGCCTGATTTTCCTGATGCTTATTGTAACTTGGCTCATTGCCTACAGGTAAAGAAAAAAAGGCCAATAATTGGCTTTCAGTATATAATCACTTCTTCATTGTTATTTGTCATAACAATCCAAGCCTGCCTGGAGGTAGTTGTTTTGTTTTGAAATTTTACTTGAGAGGCAGCAAGAGAGTACTCCTCACTCTACCGGTTGTTCATTCCAGAAGAGAGCACTTACAAGCATTCCCATCCACTAGTTCACTCCTCCAAGTGTCCAAAATGGCTGGTGCTAGAGTGAGAAACTCAATCCATGTCTCCCATGTGGATATTGGGAACCCACTTACTTGAGCAATAACCTGCTGCCTCATGGGACCTGCATTCATGGGGATCTACAATTAGCTGGGGCTGGGCATCGAGCAGGCATCTCTGGTAGGCCAAGTGTCCATACCAGAGACAGTATTTTTTTTTAAAGATTTATTTATTTATTTGAAAGGTGGAGTTACGGAGAGGCAGAGAGAGAGAGAATCTTCCATCTGACATCCCTTTAGGCCAAAGACGTAAAATATTAAGTCTTTGTGGTGGAGTTTTCTGAATAATTTTGCTTTGCTTCTTCTAGATTGTCTGTGATTGGACAGACTATGATGAGCGCATGAAGAAGTTGGTCAGTATTGTAGCTGACCAGTTGGAGAAGAATAGGTTGCCCTCCGTGCATCCTCATCATAGTATGCTGTATCCTCTTTCTCATGGCTTCAGGAAGGCCATCGCTGAGAGGCATGGGAACCTCTGTTTGGATAAGGTATGATTCTTTTGTTTCAACCTCTTTTGTTGTAAACTGAAACATAGATATAGAAAGCTTTGCGGACAAATGTATGATGTAATGAATTACCAAGTGAACACTATTCAAGTTGAGAACAACGCTGTCAGCCACTCCAGAAGCCCCTTCCATCATGTCTTGTCTTGAGCATAACTGTTTCCATTCCATGTAGAATCTTCTTTTGAAATTGTTTATTTTTATTTACTTGAAAGGTGGGGGACAGAGAGAGAGAGAGAGAGAGAGAGAGAGAGGAAGACAGAGATGGGTAGATATTGATCTTCCATTTGCTAGTTCACTCCTCAAATGCCTGCAACAGCCAAGAACCTGGAACTCCATTTGGGTCTCCCATTTGGGTAGCAGGGGCTGAAGTTCATGAGCCCTCACCTGCTGCCATCCAGGATGTATTAGCATAAAGCAGAGCAGCCAGGATGCAGATCTGGCACCCCTAGATGGTGTGTGGGCATCCGAAGCAGAGGTTGAACCCACTGTGCCTCAATGCCCTCCATTTAAGGTAGAATCCTTAACAATAAACTGAAGGTGACAACCATAATGCTTCGTAAAGTATCTGCTGTTTTTTACTCACCTTTGAGGATTATAGCACTTTGTGATCAAAGGTTGGAATTTACTCCTGAAAAACTCGTGTGCTAGATGTTACTTTTTTCTTGTAAATGCTTCCCTACAGAATTTTCTAAAATGCTGCAGGCTTTGGCATATTCTGTCCATAGTGCTTCATTTGTGCAAGTTTGAGATATGCTCAGTCTGTTTCATAGGTCTCAGGAACAGGTCATAGTATGAAGCATGTCACATAACACTGCTGAGTTTGCATTAAACTGGCTGTATGGATTAAATGAAGTGTCACGGGCAAACCTTGCTGAACAGATGGGAGGTGCAGTTTTGTTGTGTTTAGTCACTTTTCTTAGATGAAAATTCTTGGGTAGACCCAGCTTTACTAATAATAATAAGCATTTGCTTCTTCTGGTAGATTAATGTCCTTCATAAACCACCATATGAACATCCAAAAGACTTGAAGCTCAGTGATGGTCGACTGCGTGTAGGATATGTGAGTTCTGACTTTGGGAATCATCCTACTTCTCACCTGATGCAGTCCATTCCAGGCATGCACAATCCTGATAAATTTGAGGTAAGACTAATGTTTCTCTAGAATCACTATTGGTTAAAAACAGCATAAAACTCCACAGTGGTGGGTTTATTGTCATCATTAGGTGCTAAAACCAGTGTCTTTTGGAAAGATTTGAGCCCAGGTTGTTAAATATACACTGTGGTACCCTTCAGGTATTCTGTTATGCCCTGAGTCCAGATGATGGCACGAACTTCCGAGTGAAGGTGATGGCAGAAGCCAATCATTTCATTGATCTTTCTCAGGTAGGTGAAACTCTTATACTTTTAGCTTTTTTATTTTGAGCAAACTTGAGTACAACTGTGGACATACAGTTTGTATTTTTAAGAATAATTTTTATGTATTTGAAAGGAAGAGACAGAGGTGCAGATCTTCCATCCACTGGTTCACTCCCCAAATGCCCACAACATCCAGAGCTGGGTCAGGCTGAGTACAGGAGCCCAGAACTCAAACAGATCTCCCACAGTCATTCCCTGCTGCTTTCCAGGGTGTGCATTAGCTGAAGTTCTGAGTGAAGCTGGGACCTGAACCCAGGCACTACAATATGGGATACAGGCGTCCCAAGCAGCATCTTAACCGCTAAGCCAAATGCCTGCTCTTAAAATTTGCATTTTTTAAAATACTTTATTTATTTAAAAAGGCAGAGTTAGAAACAAGAGACAGAGGAGAGAGAGAGAGATCTTCATCTGCTAGTTCATTCCCCAGATGGCTGCAACAGCTAGGGTTGGGCCAGGCTGAGGCCAGGAGCTTCACCTGGGTCTCCCATGCAGGTGCAGGGGCCCCAAGCACTTGGGCCATCCTCTGCTGCTTTCCCAGATGCATTAGCAGGGAGCTGAATTGGGAGTGGAGCATCTGGGACTCAATCAGTGTGCCCTTATGGAATGCTGGAGTTGCAGGCAGCAGCTTTGTCCACTGTGCCACAACGCTGGCCTGGAGTTTGCATTTTTGATGCTTAAGTATTCAATACTAGTACATGTGGACAGTTGCTTCAGTGTTATTTCTGGGGCTGACTTTGTGGTGCAGTAGGTTAAGTCACTGCCTGCGACAAGCAATGGAAGATGTCCCAAGTGCTTGGGGCCCTGCCACCCACATGAGAGAACTTGGTGGAGTCCCAGGCTTCTGTCTTCAATGTGACCCAGCTCTGACTATTTGGGGAGTGAATCAGTGATAGAAGATCTCTTGCTCTGTCTCTCCCACTTTCTGCAGCTCTGCCTTTCAAATAAATAAATCTAAAAAAAAGATCTTATTTCCTTGGTTATTGATTATAAAATCAAGCATCACTTTTGCTAAGGTTGCAAATAAAACAGACGTGGTATATTTGAACATGGACATACAGCTTCTCTGAGGTTTCAGCCAGCACTTTTGACAGTAGATACTTAATAAATATTAACTGAGAGAATTCAAAAATGGTGGCTTAGAAGAATAATAAGTAGTTCCTCTTAGTGTCTCTGTATCCGTGAGCTTTTGCCTTTGGTTATCTTTATTCCTACACTTGTTCTGTCTGTTGTTTTCTCTAGGTAAGTTTTGTGGTAGATTAAGATTGAAACCTTTGGGAATTGCTGAGTGTGTATACTGGTGTTCTTAAACTATTTTTTTAAATATTGATTGATTTCAAAGGCAGAGTTACAGAGAGGCAGAGAGAGAACGGTCTTTGATCAGCTGGTTCACTCCCCAAATGTCCACAACAACAGGAGCTGGGCCGATCAGGAGCCAGGAGCTTCTTCCGGGTCTCCCACGTGGGTGCAGGGGCCTAAGGACTTGGGCCAACTTCCACTGCTTTCCCAGGCCATAGCAGAGAGCTGGAAGTGGAGCAGCTGGGACTCAAACTGGCACCCATATGGGATGCCAGCACCACAGGTGGTGGCTGTAACCACTACGCCACAGTGCTGGCCCCTATCCTGGTATTTTTTATAGACTCTGTTGGCCACTTTTGTAATTAATAGAGATAATATGTGGCACATAGAGTTGTCTTAGTGGGGGATTGATTTCAGGACTCCCTGACGTTATCAATTTGGGAATGTTCAAATCCCTTACATAAAATGGTATGATATTTGCATATAACCTAAGCATATACTCCTGTATACTTTACATCATCTCAGGGTTATGTATAATACCTAATACAATGAGAATGCTACGTAAGTAGTTGTTATACTGTATTGTTTAGGAATGATGACATGAAAAACATCTGTACATGTTATCGTTGATCTCTGATTGATTGACTATGTGGAATGCATAGATAATGGAAAACCAACTATATAGTGTGTAAAATATGTGTTCATACAGTACATGTATGTAGGCCCATGTGTATGTAAATACACATGCATGCACACATGTACATATATAAATTTATTTTTGTATAAATCATTGAATTCCTAGCAGAAGAGTTGTGAGACTCTTGTCATTTAATAACTAGTGTGCACCAATATCTTACAAGAACTTCAGAAAAATGCCTGGCCATTTTTGATGTATGGTTGAACTTATGTGACCAAGAATACCACTCTCTGTCTCTGAGACCTTCACTCACTCACTGCTTGTTGACTGAAATCTAAACTCTTTCAACATGGCTTTCACAACCTTACTAAGTTGTCACAACTTTGTTAGTATTTTCTTTTAAGATTGATTGATTTATTTGAAAGAGTTACAGAGAAAGGAAGAGAGAATCTTCCATCTGCTGGTTCACTCCCCAAATGACTGGGGCTGGGCCAAGCTGAAGCCAGGAGCCTGGAGCTTTATCTGGGTCTCCTGTGTGGGTGCAAAGGGCCCAAGCACTTGGTCTGTCTTCTGTTTCCTAGACTCATTCGCAGAGAGTTGGGTCAGAAGTGGAACAGGGGCCAGCACTGTGCCATAACAGGTAAAGCCTCCACCTGCAGTGTGGTCATCCCATATGGGCACCGGTTCTAGTCCCGGCTGCTCCACTCCTGATCCAGCTCTCTGCTATGGTCTGGGAAAGCAGTAGAATGGGGCCCAAGTCCTTGTGCCCCTACACCCATGTGGGAGACCCAGAAGAGGCTCCTGGATCCTGGCTTAGATGGGCCCAGCTCTGGCCATTGTGGCCATTTGAGGAATGAACCAGCAGATGGAAGATTTCTTGCTCTCTCCTGTCTCTACCTCTGCCTCTCAAATAAATTAATTTTCAAAAGTGGAACAGCTGGCACACACACTGGTGCCCATATGGGATGCCTTGCCTGCATCATAGGTGTACCACAACGCCAGCCCCTGTTTGCTAGTACTTTTTTGTTTTAAAGTTTATTTATGTGAAAGAGATAGAGATAGAGATAGAGATAGAGAGAGAGAGAGAGAGAGAGAGAGAGAGAGAGAGATGTCTTCTATCCACTGGTTCACTCCCCAAATGGCTGCAATGGTCAGGGCTGGGTCAAACTAGAGCCAGGAGTCAAGAGCTTCTTCCAGATCTCCCATTTGTGTGCAGAGGCCCGAGCACTTGTGCCATCCTCTGCTGCTTTCCCTTAGGGAGCTGGATTGGAAGTAAAGCAGCTAAGGCGTGAACTGGCACCAATATGGGATGCTGGTGCTGGCTTAACTCTGCTATGCCATAGAGCTGGCCCCTGCTAGTACTTTAAACCGCCGTTAACCTTCAGGTGCACCCTTTACCAATTAAATGTAAGTTACTTACCTTCTTCTTGTTGTTTTTAAGATTTATTTATTTGAAAGGCAGAGTGACAGGGGAAAAGGAGGGGGCACGGCAACAGATTGCTTCCATTCCTTGGTTTGTGCTCCAAGTGGTCATGACAACTGAGGCAAGGCCAGGTTGAAGCCAGGAGCCAGAAGCCCCATCTGGGCCTCTACCACATGGGTAGCAGGAGCTCAAAGTACTTTAACTATCATCAGTTGCTTCCCAGGGCATTGGTAGGGAGCAGGATTGGAAGCAGAGTAACTGGGAGTTGAACTGGCATTCTGATACGGGATCCAGGCATCCCAAGTGGTGGCTTAACCCACTGTGCCACAGCACCTGCTTCTCCTCACCTTTTTTAAACCTACCTTGTCCTTTACTCTGGTTCTTTTCAATTGTTCTTTACTGAGGTTATATTTTCTCTCTCTCTTTCTTTTTGAAGATTTATTTATTTGAAAGGCAGAGTTACAGAGAAGCAGAGGCAGAGAGAGAGAGAGAGAGAGAGAGAGAGGTCTTCCATTCGCCGGTTCACTCCTCAGATGGCCACAATGGTCGGAGCTGGGCTGATCTGAAGCCAGGGTCCAGGAGCTTCTTCCAGGTCTCCCACGCAGGTGCAGGGCCCAAGGATTTGGGCCATCTTCTACTGCTTTCCCAGGCCATAGCAGAGAGCTGGATCAGAAGTGGAGCAGCTGAGACTCAAATTGGTGCCCATATGGGATGCTGGCACTGAATGCAGTGGCCTTACCTGCTATACCACAGTGTTGGCCTCTGAGGTTATATTTTCAGATTCCCTCTCATTCCTTGTAATCTTTGAAGGTCTTTTTCAAATACTAACTCTGCTATGACGTGTCACTACTCCAAACATTCAGTTCAGAGGTAAACTCTTCTTCCTCTGTGTCCTGTTTCTGTAATGCTTTGAGTGCATATTAATGGCACTTACACATATTTTGGCCTTTATCAGTGTGGTTAATTTCTGTTAACTACTTTTGCATCAGGGAATCTGAATTCTGTTTAATGCCATTAAAAATAATCACATTATTCTGAGATTATATGTGCTGAATTCTTATTTTGTGTTCCACAGATTCCATGCAATGGAAAAGCAGCTGATCGCATCCATCAGGATGGAATTCACATCCTTGTGAATATGAATGGTTATACCAAGGGTGCACGAAATGAGCTCTTTGCTCTTAGACCAGCTCCTATTCAGGTAAAGGAATTAGTCACTCGGGATGTATCTTGGACTACAAAGATAGTGATGTATTTTTTTCCCTTAGGCTAACAGATACATGAAATAGTAGAGCAGACCTAGTTATGTTTTAGAAACTACAGTTCTTGAAATGTACAGGGACACATAATTTTGAGTGCAGAACACAGTGCCTCTGGATACATGCATATGTACCCGTATGGAGACATGCAATTCATGGTTGAATTATACAAATTTGAAAAACATTTTGGCACTTAGAAGATTAGTCTAAAATACTACTTTATTGCTCTTGGTTAAAGAAGTTAATCCTAATTGTTAATTTATTTAAATTTGGAACAATTTTTAAGGTTTATTTATATTTATTTATTTATTTTTGCCAGGCAGTTAGATAGAGAGAGAGAGACAGAGAGTTATAGACAGTGTGAGAGAGTTATAGACAGTGAGAGAGAGACAGAAAGGTCTTCCTTCCGTTGGCTCACTCCCCTAATGGCCACTACGGCCGGCGCTGCCAGGAGCCAGGTACTTCATCCTGGTCTCCCATGTGGGTGCAGGGCCCAAGCACTTGGACCATCCTCCGCTGCCCTCTTGGGCCACAGCAGAGAGCTAGACTGGAAGAGGAGCAACTGGGACTAGTACCCGGCGCCCCAACTGGGACTAGAACCTGGGGTGTTGGCGCCACAGGTGGAGGATTTGCCAAGTGAGCCACAGCGCCGGCCAAGGTTTATTTATTTGAAAGGCTGAGTTAAAGAGAACAGAGACAGATCTTTCATCTGCTGGTCCACTCCCCAAATGGCCTCAATGGCTGGAGCTGGGCCAGGCTGGAGCCAGGGGCTTCATCCAGGTCTCCCACTTTAGTGGCAGGGCCACTTGGGTGGGTGGCTTTTCCAGGTACATTAGCAGGGAGTTGGATTGGAACTGGAATAGCTGAGATTCCAAGTGGCAGTGGCTTAATCTACTGGCCAGCCCCTAAATTTGGAACCTTTTAATGAGTGTTCTTATGTTTTTTTTAAACACTTTATTGAGGTGTGATGCATGTACAAAAGAGTCTATCCATCTTTAATGCGTACAGTTTGTTGAATTAAGAAAGAAGTATACCGATGAAGTTTCTTAATCAGTTTCTGGTCTTTCTCTCTTTTAAAGGCGATGTGGCTGGGATACCCTGGGACTAGCGGTGCACTTTTCATGGATTATATAATCACTGATCAGGAAACATCACCAGCAGAGGTTGCTGAGCAGTATTCTGAGAAATTGGCTTATATGCCCCATACTTTCTTTATTGGTGATCATGCTAATATGTTCCCTCACTTGAAGGTATGTAGAAAACTGCCGAGGGGCTGGGATTCAAAGAATTGTCATCATGTATTTCCTTCTTGTTGCTCATATGCACCCTGAGACATGTCTGAAACGTTTTTTTCCATTAGAAAAAAGCAGTCATTGATTTTAAGTCCAATGGGCACATTTACGACAATCGGATAGTTCTGAATGGCATCGACCTCAAAGCATTTCTTGATAGTCTACCAGATGTGAAAATTGTGAAGGTAAGAATCTCGTCAGTGTTACCATTGAAATAATGATAATTGCATTTGAGATCTTTCCTTAATGTATTTTGTATCCTTTTGTGTTTTTAGATGAAATGTCCTGATGGAGGAGACAATGCAGATAGCAGTAACACGGCTCTTAATATGCCTGTCATTCCTATGAACACTATTGCCGAAGCAGTTATTGAAATGATAAATAGAGGACAGATTCAGATAACGATTAATGGATTTAGTATTAGCAATGGCTTGGCAACCACACAGGTGAGAAAAGAATAATAGTCTATTACATGTGCTACCAAGCATGCGTTTATCTTCTTTAACCCTCACAGTTAACTCTAGGAGGGAAGCATTATTATCCTCATTTTACAGATGAGGATGTGAGTTCAGTGGAAATTGGTGTCCTTGTAGGTTTGAATTTAAAAGTCTCTTGTATTCAGCCAGCAGGTTGCTGAGAGAGAGTTTACTGTGTTAATATCTTGTTATTCCCTGCCTGTGGCTATGCTCTCTATCATATGGTGAAATGTGTGTCCTTTTCCTGGGCTAAATTGTACTTACACTTTACATTCAGACAGCTCCTCTCAATAATCTGTTCCTGTACTTTAGGTTTTACCTCTTCAGCCCTACTCCATTGATAACCTCCCTGTTGTGTTTTTGTAATATTTGAGATATTCAACAGAAGACATTATCTCTGTGTCCTCCAGTGAATTGAATTACTCTAGGGCATGTGTGTTAACCACAATAATGTAATATGCACTCAACAAATAATGTATTGCATGCTTGAATAAATGAGTATGCACCTCTGTTAAGAGAGTGTGAGGCTAGGATCCCAGACCTCTTAGGAGTTAACAGTTTCGTTGAAATGGCTGAACCTGCCTAGAATAGTTAAATAACAGCAATAACAGCATAAGGCAGTACTCGCAAGTGTGGGTTTGCAAGATAAGGTAGAAGCTCAGAAATGCTGATGATCAATGTGGGGAGAGACAGTTGCGAGAGGAGACCATTTGGAGGGATAATTTCAGTTTAGCGATGCAATTTAGAAAAGGAATATTTCATTCATGAGAAAAAGAGTGAGCAAAAGCTTGCTGTTGAATTATTAATAGGGTACTGGGAAATTTGGTTAGAGCAAGAAGTTTCAGGGCTGGTGCAGTGGCTCACTTGGTTAATACTCTCCAGATCCCATATGGGCACTGGGCTCTAGTCCCAGTTGCTCCTCTTCCAGTCCAGCTCTCTGCTGTGGCCCAGGAAGGCAGTGGAGGATGGCCCAAGTGCTTGGGCCCTGCACCCCATGGGAGACCAGGAGAAGCACCTGGCTCCTGGCTTCAGATTGGCGCAGTGCCAGCCGTAGTGGCCATTTGGGGAGTGAACCAACAGAAGGAAGACCTTTCTGTCTCTCTCTCTCTCACTGTCTGTAACTCTACCTGTCAAATAAATTAAAGTATGATGGCATTGCTTCATCAAACAAATTACCAATGAATGAATTACCTTGAAAGTTTTATAGTGCAGTCCTCAAATTAAGGCAATGTTGCAGCCATTTCCTTTTTTTTAAAGATTTTATTTATTTGAGAGGTAGAGTTACAGACAATAAGAGGGAGAAGAGACAGAGAGAAAGGTCTTCCACCCTCTTGTTAACTCCCCAAATGGCCACAATGGCTGGAGCTGGGTCGATCTGAAGCCACGAAACTAGGAGCTTATTCTGGGTTGCCCTTGTGGGTGTAGGGGCCCAAGTGCTTTCCCAGGCCGTGGCAGAGAGCTGGATCAGAAGAGGAGCAGCCGGGACTAGAACTGGCACCCATATGGGATGCTGGTGCTGCAGGTGGAGGATTAACATACTGTGCCACAGTGCAGGCCCTTTCCTCTCTTTTTTTTTTTTATTTATTTGAAAGAGCCAGAGAGGTAGAGACAGAGAGAGGTCTTCCATCCCCTGGTTCACTCCCCAGATGGCCGCAACGGCCAGAGCTGGGCCGATCTGAAGCCAGGAGCCAGGAGCTTCTTCTGGGTCTCCCACATGGGCGCAGGGGCCCAAACACGTGGACCATCTTCTGCTGCTTTCCCAGGCCTTAGCAGAGATCTGGATCAGAAGAGGAGCAGCCGGGACTAGAACCGGTGCCTATATGGGATGCCGGTGTTTCAGGCCAGGGCTTTAACCTGTTGCACCACAGTGCTGATTCCCCCCTCCCTCCCTTTTTTTAACTTAATGTATCATGAGTATTTTCTAACTGTGGTTCAGGGATGTGGCTTTTTAATGGAGATACCATTTTGCATCTTACAGATTCCTTATCCATAAGATGCAGATATGTGTTAAAAGAATGGACTGTCTTGGCTTTAAATACAGTCATGCTCTTTTCCTTGTTTTAGATTAACAACAAAGCTGCAACTGGAGAGGAGGTTCCCCGTACAATTATTGTAACTACCCGTTCTCAGTATGGGTTGCCAGAAGATGCCATCGTGTACTGTAACTTCAATCAGTTGTATAAAATTGATCCATCTACTTTGCAAATGTGGGCAAATGTGAGTATATACAGATTCATCATTAATGTCTGAGACTAGTACAGGCCATCTTGCTTAGGTTGACTCCCTACCCTCATTTGGGAGCTGTTGTGCTGATTTCTAGTCTTCCAAAGAGTTGTACATTTTTCAGTCATTTTTGATTCTTCCAGTGTCTAAAGTATCACATTATGGACCTTTTTAAGTTTATATATTCAAAACGGTGTTGTGTCTAAATCAGAGGTCAGTAAATGTTTTTCTTAAAGGACCAGAAGTAAATATTTTCGGTGTTGTCATCTGTGCTCTTTAATCTGCTGTTGCAGCATGAATGTAAATGGATGAGTATGGCTGTTGGCTGTGTTCCAGTAAAATTTTATTTACAAAAACTGGCAGCATGCCAGATTTGGCTCAAAGGCTGTAGCTTGCCATCTCCTGGACTAAACTGATAGCTAAAGCTGTCATGTATGTGCCCGCATGTTTAACATTTTTACAAGATTAGAGTTCTAAACAGGAAGGAGTTTATTTATACCATTACTTCTCAGTTCATCAGACCAGTTTGTATACTAAGCAGGATATTAGCTATCTGTAGCTGGCTTAGTCCCTAGGACTAAAATGGCACATTTTACTTCTGATAATCTGGAGAGAAGTCTTTAATTGCTTTTTTCCCCCTCTCCTGATAACCTGTTTTTTTTTTTCTTTATTAAAGGAAAGCAGAGGGTAGCGCAGAAGAGGAAGCAGATTAGTACAGGGCTATTGCCCCTGTATGGTCACTCACCCTTATTCCTCACTTTCTAATGTCCAAACCTTCTGAAAACCAAAAGCTTTTTCTTAAGTCAGTGTCAAATTTACTTGACAGCCAAATCACTGAACTGACGTTAGGCTATTCATGGTCTTTTTGTTTATTATGATTATTTCTGCATCTCAATGCAAAGATATTAAATATAGAGAGTTACTGCTGAGGGTGTTTTGTAATATGCACTTTACTACTTTTTTTTAAGATTTTATTTATTTGAGAGGTAGAGTTACAGACAGAGAGGGAGAAACAGAGAGAAAGGTCTTCCATCTGCTGGTGCATTCTACAAATGGCTGCGACAGCTGGATCTGTGCTGGTCCAAAGCCAGGAAGCAGGAGCTTCCTCCAGATCTCCTACATGGATGCAGGGGCCCAAGGACTTGGGCCATTTTCTACTGCTTCCCCAGGCCATAGCAGAGAGCTGGATCAGAAGTGGAGCAGCCAGGACTCAAATGGGTGCCCATATGGGATGCCGGCACTGCAGGTGGCGGCTTCACCTGCTATGCCACAGTACCGGCCCCATGCTTGTTTATGTACTATCTATGCCTGCTTTCAGGCAACAGTGATTGAACAGTTATGACAGTCCCCATGGCCACAGAAATGTTTGTTGTCTGGCCTCTTTACAGAAAAAGTCCACTTGGGTGGCCATTTGGCACAATGAATATAAGGTGCCTCTTGGGATAACAGCATCCCATAGTAGAGTACCTGGTTTGAGTCCCAGCTGCTCTATACTTTTCTTTTTTCAGATTTTATTTATTTGAGAGGTAGAGTTACAGACAGTGAGAGGGAGAAGAGACAAAGAGAAAGGTCTTCCTTCCACTGGCTATCTCCCCAAATGGCCATGATGGTGGGAGCTGGGCCGATCTGAAGCCTATAGCTTATTTCGAGTCTCCCACGTGGGTGCAGGGGCCCAAACACTTGGGCCATCTTCTACTGCTTTCCCAGGCCATAGTAGAGAGCCGGGTTAGAAGAAGAGCAGCCGGGACTAGAACTGGTGCCCCTATGGGATGCCAGCACCACAGGCAGAGGATTAACCTTCTGTGCCACGGCACCGGCCCCTCCTCTGCTTTTGATCCAGCTTCCTGCTGCTGTGCCCCCTGGGAGCTAACAGGTGATGGATTAAGTGCTTAAATCCTTGCTGTCCATGAGGGAGACCTGGATTGAGTTCTGGGCTCCTGCCTTTAGCCTGGCTCAGCCCTGGCTGTTGAGGGCACAGATTTCTCTGTCTGTCCTTCCCTCTCCCCCCTTTTGTTCTTGTTTTTGTTATTATTTTAAGCTTGCTGACCTTTGTTCTACCATAGGCAAATAAATTTAGGCAACTGTGAGTAACTTAGTTGTGATATGGTGGGGGTATTTAAAATTTGGAGTGGAAAATTCCTGTCTCTTCAACAAAACCCACTGTCTGTTATTGGTTCCTGCAGGATATAGCTGCCCCAGATTTTGCCAGTTACTAACTTGTTTTGTGTCTTCTGACATCAGTCTCTGGTCTGTCTTCAGATTCTCCCTTGGGACAGCTAAACAGGACAAATAGTAATTCAGTTGACATAATTCATCTGTGTGAAGGAAGATTTTAGTTCACAGTAGACTTCTCTGGAGAGAATGAATAGAGTATGGTAGAATTATTAGAGACCTATGGGAACCTTAGTTGAGCAGGGCAGATCTGCTATCAGTAATCATTCTTATTTTCCCTGTTGCAGATTTTGAAGCGTGTTCCCAATAGTGTGCTATGGCTGCTGCGTTTCCCAGCAGTAGGAGAACCTAATATTCAGCAGTATGCACAGAACATGGGCCTTCCCCAGAACCGGATCATTTTTTCACCCGTTGCTCCTAAAGAAGAGCATGTGAGGAGAGGCCAGCTGGCTGACGTCTGCCTGGATACTCCGCTCTGTAATGGACACACCACAGGGATGGATGTCCTCTGGGCAGGAACACCCATGGTGACTATGCCAGGTAAGCTGCTGATCACTGGGCTCACTGGAGTCTTCCTTGTTCTTTTAACAATCTCCTTGGAGGCGGGGGAGGAGGGACTACTTCCTGAGTGAAATCATGTCGTGGGAGCAACATTTCAAACAAGATGATAGAAAAGACTAGTTTGTGTCTGAACACTTGGCTCCATTTCCCTTATCTATATTGTGTGGATACTCAGCGTAAAAGACATTGATAACTGTGTGCTGTTTTTATGTTCTCAGATGTGCAGTTGTTCTCTTTTGTATTACAGGAGAGACTCTTGCTTCTCGAGTTGCAGCTTCCCAGCTCACTTGCTTAGGTTGTCTTGAGCTTATTGCTAAAAATAGACAAGAATATGAAGACATAGCTGTGAAACTGGGAACTGATCTAGAATAGTAAGTAAACTTTTCTGTTAACAAGTTATATGGTAAAGTAAAGGGAATATAGTTGTTATAAAATGGAACCATAAAATAAGGGTGATATAAAATGAGTGAATTAATTGATCCCTGGATGGAACTTTCTAAACTTGTGAAAGTCATCATTAGGTTTTTACTACATAAAGAGTAAAAGTCTTAATAAAAAATTTAAAAGTAAAAGGCAAAAGAGGGGAAAGTCCTTGTTTCATATATCAAAATATTAACAGCCTGGCCATTTAAAGAGTGATGAATATTTAGAATCGATATCTTTGATGTGAAAGGAAACAAAGGAATGACCAGACAAGTCACTGAAGTGGAAATACACATAAAAGAAAAAGTGTCAGCCTAAGTAGAAATGCCAATTAAAATAATACTAAGGCACATCTGTTATTGGCCTATAAAATAAAACAATTCTTTTAAAAGATTTTTTATTTATTTGAAAAGCAGAATTAGAAAGAGGTGGAGATTTTCTATCCCCTGCTTCACTCTTCAAATGGCCACAGTAGCTGGGACTGGGACAAGCTTGAAGCCAAGAGCCAGGAGCTTCTTCCAGGTCTCCCACATGGGTGACATAGGCTTTAGCACTTGGGCCATTTTCAGCTGCTTTCCCAGGTGCATTCGCAGGAAGCTGGATTAGAAGTGGAGCAGCTGGGACACGAACCGGCGCTCATGAGATGCTGGCATCACAGGCAGCAGCTTAACTAAGTGCACCACAATGCCAGCACCCATAAAACGATTTTTAGTATGATATTTTTTGGAGAAGGAACATTGAGGTACTAGCCTTTTCATATATTGGTGACTAAATTGGTACAACTCTTAAAGAAAAATTTATTTATTCATTTGAAAGACATAGTTACAGAGGCAGAGAGAAGTCTTCCATCCACCAGTCCACTCCCCAATTGGCCACAATAGCCAGAGCTGGGCCAATTCATAGCCAGGAGCCAGGAGCCTCTTCCGGGTCTCCTACATGGACTGAGGGGCCCAAGGACATAGACTATCTTCTACTGGATTCCCAGGCCATAGCAGAGAGCTGGATTGGAAGTGGAGCAGCTGGGTCTTGAACCGGTGCTCATGTGGGATGCGGGCACTGCAGGCAGCAGCTTTGCCCACTATGCCACAATGCCAGCCCTGGGACAATTCTTTTTTTTTTTCTTTAAAGATTTATTTTATTTATTTGAAAGACAGAGTCACAGAGAGCGATAGAGCCAGAGAGAGAAAGAGAGGTCTTCCATTCCTCTGGTTCACTCCCCAAATGGCCGCAACAGCCGGAGCTGCGCCAATTTGAAGCCAGGAGCCAGGTGTTTCTTTTGGGTCTCCCACGTGGGTGGGAGTTGGGCCATCTTCTACTGCTTTCCCAGGCCACAGCAGAGAGCTGGATTGGAAGAGGAGCAACCGGGACTCAACCCTGTACCCATTTTTATTTCTTACTCTTTAAAAAAAGTAAGACCTGGGGCCGATGCTATGGCACAGTGTGTTAAGCTGTGGCCTGCAGTGCTGGCATCCCATAAGGGTACAGGTTAGAGTACTAGCTGCTCCACTTCCCAATCCAGCTCCTTGCTAATGGCCTGAGAAAGCAGTAGAAGAGGGTCCAAGTGCTTGGGCCCCTGTACGCACGTGGGAGACCTGGATGAAACTCCTGACTCCTGGCTTTGTCCTGGAGCCATTTTGGGAGTGAACCAGTGGGTGGAAGATCTCTCTCTCTTCCTCTCCTCTCTTTCCAATTATGCTTTTCACATAAATAAATAGATCTTTTTTAAGTTAGACCGTTGACCCTAATATTGCCACTTTTTTCACTGCAGCATAAGGAAGAAAAAGTATGAATTTTTTTGAAAAGAGATTTGTTTTGTTTTTACATAAGAGAGAGAGATTCCATCCCCGGGTTTGCTTTCCAAATGGCTACAACAAGTCAGGTGAGGTCCAGACCCGAGTCAGGACCCAGGAACTCCATCCTGGTCTCTCACATGAATGGCAGGGTCCCAAGCACTTGGGCCATCTTCTGCTTTCCCAGACATGAAGGGGAGCTGGATTGGGAGTGGAGCAGCCAGGACTTGAAGTAGCACAGTGATAGAGGATGCTGGCCTTGTAGGTCGTGGCCCAACCCAGTGAGCTACAAAGCTGTCCTACAAAAACATAAGCATTAGAGGAGTGAGGCTTAGATAAATGAAGCTTTGGGGCAGACGCTGTAGCGTAGCGAGTTAAGCCTGTAGTGCTGGTATTCCATATGGGTGCTGATTTGCATCCTGGCTGCTCCAGCTCTCTGCTATGGCCTGGGAAAGCAGTGGAAGATGGTCCAAGTCCTTGGGCCCCTGCACCCACTTGGGAGACCCGGAGGAAGCTCCTGGCTCCTCACTTAGGATGGGGCAGCTCCGGCCCTTGCAGCCAGTTGGGGAGTGAACATCAGAAAAGATAAATGAAGCTTTATACATTCAGTGAAATAGTATTTAACTCTTAAATTTTTCTTAGATATTATGGTTGATTTTTTAAAAAGATTTATTTATTTGAAAGAGTTACACAGTGAAAGAAGAGAGAGGAAGAGGGAGAGGGGTCTTTCATCTGCTTTTTCACTTCCCAGTTGGCTGCAATGGCTGGAGCTGTGCCAGTTCGGAGCCAGGAGCTTCTTCTGGGTCTCCCACACAGGTGCAGGGGCCCAAGGATTTGGGCCATCTTCCACTGCTATCACAGGCCATAGCAGAGAGCTGGATCAGAAGTGGAGCAGCTGGGTCTTGAACCAGTGCCCATATGGATGCTAGCACTGCAGGCGGCAGCTTTACCCGCTATTCCATAGTGCCGGCCCCTAGAACAGTTCTTAATGGGGGCAGCTTTGTGGCTCAGTGCTTAAGTTGGCATCCCATTAGGAGTGCTGGTTCGAATCCTGGCTACTCTGTTTTCTTTTCTTTTATTATTTATTTGACAGGCAGAGTGGACAGTGAGAGAGACAGACAGAGAGAAAGGTGTTCCTTTTGCCGTTGGTTCACCCTCCAGTGGCCGCCGTGGCCAGTTCACCGCGCTGATCCAAAGCCAGGAGCCAGGTGCTTATCCTGGTCTCCCATGCGGGTGCAGGGCCCAAGGACTTGGGCCATCCTCCACTGCACTTCCTGGCCACAGCAGAGAGCTGACCTGGAAGAGGGGCAACCGGGACAGAATCCGGCGCCCCGACCGGGACTAGAACCCGGTGTGCCGGCACCGCAAGGCAGAGGATTAGCCTAGTGAGCTGCGGTGCCTGCCCTACTCTGCTTTCAATCAAGCTCCCTGCTAATGCATCTGGGAAGGCAGCAGAAGATGGCCCAAATACCTGGGCCCCTTCCACCCATGTGCGCGGCCTGGATGGAGGTCCAGGCCCTTGGCAGCCATTTGGGGAGTGAACCAGGAGATAGATGGAAGATTCTCAGCTCTTTGGAACTTAGTTTTGTCCCTGTGATATTTTTCCCAAATATTTTTTTTTTTGACAGGCAGAGTGGGCAGTGAGAGAGACAGGGATAAAGGTCTTCCTTTTGCCGTTGGTTCACCCTCCAATGGCTGCCACAGCCAGCGCACCATGCTGATCCGAAGCCAGGAGCCAGGTGCTTCTCCTGGTCTCCCATGCGGGTGCAGGGCCCAAGGACTTGGGCCATCCTCCACTGCACTCCTGGGCCACAGCAGAGAGCTGGCCTGGAAGAGGGGCAACTGGGACAGAATCCGGCACCCCGACCGGGACTAGAACACGGATTGCCGGCACCGCAGGCGGAGGATTAGCCTAGTGAGCCGCGGTGCCGGCCTTTGACAAATATTTTTAAAAGAAAGTTTTAAATTTTGAAATAAACATTTGTCCATCTCTGCTTTTATTTTTACCATTAACTTTAATACTTTAGTACATATCTTTCCATCTATTTCTTGTTCAATCCAACAGTCCATCTTACTTGATAGATTTTGAAATAAGTGGCAGACATCAGTACACTTCTCCTTAAATACTTCAGAATGAGTATCATTAACTAGAATTCACTATTTCCTTTTCTTTTGAAACAGGCTTTACAGTGAAACACACAAATCTTCAGCAACTTTTCAGTTTTTTAACTCAAACCTGTATCAAGATACAGAACATTATTCTCGTTCTGGAAAGTTTCTTTATGCCCTTCTCATTTAGTCCCCCTCAGCAGTCCTTAGAGACAGCCACCATTCTAGATTGTGTTTTCCACCATAAATTAGTTTTGTCTTTCTGGAACTTTGTATAATTGGAACCATATGGTATGCACTGTTCATTTTTATTGCTGAGTAGTATCTCATTATAGATGTATTAACCCAGAGAACTTAAAAAAATATAATACTTAACTTTGAGAAGCAATGAGAGAGTGCTTTTATCTGGTTTACTCCTCAGATGCCTGCAGTGGCTGGGGAGGGTCCAAAGCCAGGAGTTGAGAACTCAGTCCAGTTCTCCGACAGGAGTGGCAAGAACTCGGTTAACTTGAGCCATCACTGCTGGCTCTCAGGGTCTGCTAGGGCAGGAAGCTGGAGTCAGGAGTCAGAACTGGGAACTGAATCTGGACATTCTGCTAAGGGATGCCAGTGTTTTAACAGGTCAAATGCTCTTACCAACACAGAACTTTTTGGGGAAAACAGACGAAAAAACATTTGCACAGATAACAGCAATAGGGACACAATTTAGTTGAACCAACAGATATGTACAACTATTTGTCACAACAAATACTGGCTTTTTATTGCTTTTAAAATGCACAACTGTATTTTGACTTCTGGTGAAGTAATTCCTAATCTGAGAGTAATTGTGTGAAAAGTAACATGCAGAAAGAATGAAGAGAGAATTCTTTCCCCCTATTTCTAGAAGAATTGATTGCTTTCCCTGTATTTTTTTTTTTCAAGATTTATTTGAAAGGCAAAGCAACAGAGAGAAGGCAGGTTGGGAAGGAGGTTTAGAGAGAGAGAGAGATCATCCATCTGGTAGTTCATTCCCCAAACGCCCACAGCAACCATCGTTGGGCCAGACTAAAATCAGGAACCTGTAACTCCATCCTGATCTCCCATGTGGGTAACAGGGGCTCAAGCACTTTGGCTGTCTTCTCTTGCCTTCCCACGCACATTTAGCAAGAAGCAGAGTAACTAGAACTTGAAATGGCACTCTGATATGGGATGCCGGCCTCTGCACCATAGTACTGGTCCTCTTTCCCCTATTTTGGAACAGAACCATGGTCTAACTGATGTTAGAAACACATCTAAAGAAACAATTCAGTTCAGGTACAAGTGAAAATTATGGCAGTATATATGCCTTTTTTCTCTTGAATATTTTCCTATTTAATTGAAATCTTCATAAACTGAATACTTACGTTTGTGCCTTAACTATTATATATGATGCTTCAGTGAATATCTTTGCATGATCATGTGTATCTGCTTCTCTTATTATTTCATTTGAATATATTGAAAATGTTACTGTTATGTCACAGTGTTAGGAACATTTAAGATTCTTAATATACACATTGCTAAATTGCTTACACCAAAGCAGTTTATACAGTCTTTAAAAAAAAAAAGATTTATTGATTTATTTGAAAGTCAGAGTTACACAGAGAGAGGAGAGGCAGAGATAAAGAGAGGTCTTCCAATGACCGGGGCTGCACTGATCCAAAGCCAGGAGCCAGGAGCTTCTTCCGGGTCTCCCACACAGGTGCAGGGGCCCAAGGACTTGGGCCATCCTCCACTGCTTTCCCAGGCCACAGCAGAGAGCTGGATTGGAAGTGGAGCAGTGCCCATAGCGGATGCCAGTGCTTCAGGCCAGGGTGTTAACCCCGTGCGCCACTGCGCCGGGCCCAGTCTTTATTTTAAAGTTAATTTATTGGAAAGGCAGTGTGATGGAGAGGGAGACTGGGAGCAACAGAAATCTTCCATCTCCTGGTTCACTCTTCAAGTGGCTGCAGTGGTTGGGGCTGGGCCAGTCCAAAGCCAGGAGCTCAGAACTCTATTGGGTTTTTCCATGTGGGTGGCAGGGGCTCAAGCACTTGGGCCATCTTTCAATGCTTTCTCAGGTGCATTAGCAAGGAGCTGGATTGGAAGCAGAGCAGTCAGGACTCGAGGTGACACTGATGTGGGATGCTGGCTTCATGAGCAGTGTTTAACCTGCTGTGCCACAACACCAGCCCATAACAGGTAGTACACAGGAATAGTCACTTGCCGTCACCAGTTCTTGTTTATATTTGTATCCCCTGCATATACTTGTTTTGGAAAGAACTAAATATTTTCAGAGAACCTGGGGATGAACTTGGTTATGCATTTAGCATTGTGTTAGCTGTGACCCTTCACTTTATCAGTTTTGAAGTAACAGGGGCCAATCAAAAGAAAATAATAGGAACTTTGGCCTATTTCTTTGGATGATCTCTTTCTCTCTCTAACCCTCCTTCCCAACCCCCCCTTCTCTCTGTTGCTTTGCCTTTCAAATAAATCTTTAAAAAAAAATACAGGGAGGCTGGTGCCGTGGCTCACTTGGTTAATCCTGTGCCTACAGCGCTGGTACCCCAGGTTCTAGTCCCGGTTGGGGCGCCGGATTCTGTCCCGGTTGCTCCTCTTCCAGGCCAGCTCTCTGCTGTGGCCAGGGAGTGCAGTGGAGGATGGCCCAGGTCCTTGGGCCCTGCACCTGCATGGGAGACCAGGAGGAAGCACCTGGCTCCTGGCTTTGGATCAGCAGATTGGCATGGTGCACCGGCCGCAACGCGCCGGCCGTAGCGGCCACTTGGGGGCCACTTTGGTTCAACCAAAGGAAAAAGGAAGACCTTTCTCTGTCTCTCACTGTCAAACTCTGCCTGTCAAAAAAAAAAAAAAAATACAGGGAAAGCAATCAATTCTTCTAGAAATAGGGGGAAATAGGCCAAAGTTTGCCCCAAAGATTATTAGATATTTATCCGGTTTAGTTCCAAATTTCTGCTCTGATTTGTAAACTTTGATTCTCTCTCTCTCTCTCTTGTTTTAATTACCTAGCCTGAAGAAAATTCGTGGCAAAGTCTGGAAGCAGAGAATATCTAGCCCTCTGTTCAACACCAAACAATACACAATGGAACTAGAGCGGCTCTACCTACAGATGTGGGAGCATTATGCAGCTGGCAACAAGCCTGATCACATGATCAAGCCTGTTGAAGTCACTGAGTCAGCCTAAATAAAGACCGCACAGGAGAATTGCCCTATACCTGAGCCTCAACCTTCTGGGGGAAAGGGAACGAGCTAACACACTTTTTACTTATCTGTCCAGCACCGTGTTGCAGATGGGTGATCTGTAATGGTAATAGAATAGCACAGCCAAACTTGCTTCCTGCATGATAGGGAGAGACACAAGTGATGGGAAACTGCTGTTCCACAAGGAATCTCCATAGAGTTTTTGCAGCAACCAGGTGGTGCATAGGTCTGGAAGGTCTGATCTCCCTTGGTCTTCCATGGGATGGTTAGTGTGGAGCGGAGATATAGATTGTCCAGCCGTTTTGTGATTCCACAGATCGATTGAGTCTTCTGGATTAATTTTTTTCTTTATATTTTGGATATTGGAGCTTTTAAAAATGTTTGGTTTCAGGTATTTTTATTCATGTGAAGTGTGTATGATTCTATTGAGATAAGGTTTTAAGCTAAAATGTTGTTCCCTGTTTTAGTTTCTGAACTCTGACAGATTAACGGGGACTTTGCTGGTGTAGTCTTTTTATAGGTTTTATAAACCACTTGAGCCTATATCAGTCGTTTTAGTGTCTGACCTGATGTTTGGAGCTATCAGTGCTTTGTTGATTTAGATGATGACTCTTGATTTTTTTTTTCTGGTCCATCTCCTTCCTTCCATCCTTAAAAAAATCCTCCAATAACTCAGCTGATGAAACGAAGTCTGATTCAAAACATCCCAGAGATTTTCCTGAACACGTCATTTGGTGCCAAATGAAAATTCTTAGGAGTGATTATTAATTAGGAGGGATACAGTTGTGGTACTGTCATTGGTAGTAACGTAGATTTTTTTTTTTTGCCTAATTTTGACATATTTCGCCAGTGTTTTACCCTTCACTGCCCCTTCTATGCTGCTTCCAAAAGTGATAGTGTGTGATAAGATTTTTACCTTCTTTTCTAAAGTTTGTTTTTTTTTTAAAGTGAGTCCTGTTCTTCCTATTTCTTTCAGCAGAAATGAAATCCCAGGTAAGTATAAGTATTCAAATATTTGATCAGTAAGTTGCAGTTATCGCCAATACATAATATTTGGGATATTTAATTGAAATAATTGAAACTTTAATTGAAAGTCTTGTTATTGATAAAAATCTCTGAAGGACCATCTGTGTATACAAGTAATTATTTTTCAGACCTTCTAGGGTATTACATAATAATTGTCTTCTGAACTTGGTCTTGAAGTCTGTATGAATTCAGCCTCAGTAATAGTGAACTGCACTGCTACTTGGTTTGGAGTACAAATTAGACTTTAGCCCTCCTGGAGCTTGAGTTCTTGGTATTAAAAACCATAGGAATAAAATTACTGATTTTCAACAAAGGATTGAGGGCTTGAGGCTTAAACAAGCCAACATATGAAATACGTTTTGTCTTGCTGTACTGCACTTACGCTACCCAGTCACAGATAAGTTTTGTCTGCTAGTAGTGTTCTAGATTATGTCTTTCCAAAGCGCTGAGGCAGTGCACCTATTCTGTAGCTGCAGCCGTTGCCTGAATGTATTCTAGCTGACAAATTACTGAATAAGAACTTGAACTTCTGAAAGATGATTACTGCTAACCAAATTCTGAGCAAGAAGCCTCAAATGTAATTCCGAAGCAGAATTACATGTCAATGAACTGTGTACCCATTAACATTGTGAATCAAGAAACATCAGTTAAGGGATTTCTTAATTTATTTTTTACCTGATTGAGAGTTAAAGGTTGCCAGCATGGTTGCAGATACACTGATGTTCGAAGTTGACCGAATTACTTAACGTGGAATAGGATGATATACTTCCAATGCCCTCGAGGCTGTAACCTGACAGCCGTCTTACATAGCACATCATTCCTCCTATAGGGATGAACTTTTTCCTGGCACGAAAAGTAGCCGCTCTGGTTGAAGCTTTGCTTATTGTAACAGGCTTTTATTTCCAGGTAACATGTCTGTGGAAGACTTAATTCTGAATAGAGATATAGATATTACTGGAAACTAATTGTTTTTTCTATTCTATTCTGCTTTATCAAAAAAGTAAAACATTTAAATTGTGCTACAGAAATTCAGATGTTGTCTTGCGATCTTTAAACAATAAATGAATGATTTCCCCTTAATATGGCTGATGTATTTTGTGTCCTGTTATTTAGAGTGTTGGACAGACTATAAAAGTTATCCAGTGATTTGTATGACTCAACAACACAGAATGACCAGATTTCCCTAATGTAGCTGTGATACAAGGAATTATTTTGCTTTCTCATTCATACCTGGTGAAGGGGTATGGTTGGTATGTGATCTGATGAAGATGACAAAACCTGTGACCCCCAGCACACCCATCCATGCTTCTTCTGGTATCATGTATAACATTTGTAGTCTCTCCCTCCCTCTTCTCTCTCTTTTTTTTTCTCTCTCTCTCTCTCTCCCTCTTAAATTTACTATTTTGGAAGACAGCCACACAGAGATCTTCCATCTGCTGGTTCATTCTGCAAATGCCTGCAACAGCTAGGGTTTGCCAGGTCAAAGCCTAGAGACAGGAACCTCAGTCCAGGTCTCCCACATGGGTGGCAGGGATCCAAGTACTTGAGCCATTGTCTGCTGCCTCCCTGGGTGCACATTATCAGGAAAGCTGGATTGGAAGTGGAGGTAGGACTTGTTTCCCAGGCGTTCTGATATTGGATGTTGGTGTCCAAAGCAGTGGCCTAACCTGCTGCACCACGACACCTGCCCATGTAGTCTCATTGTTTTTGTGAACTGTTTTCTTGGTCCTTTCTGCTCTGTCCAGTAGTTGAACTCAACCATGAATATGAGGGGGAAGAACATCAATGCATGAGGGATAAGAACAGGCTGGTTGGGGAACCAGTGCTGTGGCGCAGTAGGTTAATCCTCTGCCTGTGGTGCTGGCATCCCATATGGGTGCCGGTTCCAGTTCCAGCTGCTCCACTTCCAATCCAGTTCCCTGCTAATATGCCTGGGAAAGCAGCAGAGAATGGCCCAAGTGCTTTGGGCCCTTGCATCCACATGGGAGACCTAGAAGAAACTACTGGCTTCTGGCTTCAGATAGGCCCAGCTCCTGTTGTGGCCATTTCAGAGGTGAACCAGTGGACGGAAGACCTCTCTCTCTCCCTCTCTGACTCTGCTTTCAAATAAGTCTCTGGTCCAAACCCAGGAGCTTCTTCGGGTCTCCCATGTGGGTGCAGGGGCCCAAGGATTTGGGCCATCTTCTACTGCTTTCCCAGGCCATAGTGGAGAGCTGGATCAGTAGTGGAGCAGCTGGGACTTGAACTGGCACCCATATGGGGTGCTGGCACTGCAGGTGGAGGCTTAACCTACTAAACCACAGCTCTGGCCCCAGGACTGCCTATTTTTAAAATATTTTTTTCCAAGCCTACCCACTCTTTTGCTTGAAGCATATCTAATACCTTAATTACATCTAACTTTTAGGGTCTTTGTCAACATCTCTGAGGTAGTTATTTAACACCCTCTTTTTTTTTTAATAGAAGAGGCTTGTAGAGATTGATTTGCAAGTTTGTCTTAGAATTAAAATGAGCAGCCTCTTTAATCCAATTCCCTATCAACTCAGTAATTACCTTTTTTTAATTTATTTGAAAGAGAGAGCGAGCGAGGTCTTCCATCCGATGGTTCACTCCCCAGATGGTTGCAATGGCCAGAGCTGTGCCAACCTGGAGCCAGGAGCCTCCTCTGGGTCTCCCACACTGATGCAGGGGCCCAAGGACTTGGGCCATCTTCTGCTTACCCAGGTCATAGCAGAGAGCTGGATTGAAAGAGGAGCAACTGGGGCTAGAACCAGCACCCATATAGGATGCCAGTGCTTCAGGCCAGGGCTTCATCTCGCTGGGCCACAGCGCTGGCCCCCCAGTAATTATGTTTATATATGTAGACTATTTGGTGCGTAAAGAGTAGGTTTTGAAACGAGTGCTGTTGGGGTTTGAGTCCATTTTGCCCCTTCCTAGATGTGTGCTAACATTGCCTATTTTTAAAACCTCATTGTAAGGATTACATCCAGATAAAAATACTCAAAACAGTGGTACAGAAGAAACTGAAAGGGATATTTTGTATTTTGTTGGCAAAGTAGCTTAAATTATGATATACATGGGTATTGGCAGGAGTAGTGGCACAATCTAGAAGCACGCACTTTATCTTTTTTTTTTTTTTTTTTTTTTTGCTGTGGTGGAGACTGCCAAAATGCTTCAAGTAAAATTTTTTTTTTAAAGATTAATTTGTTTACTTGAGAGGCAGAGTTAAAAGAGGGAGCCAGAGGGAGAGGTCTTCCATCTGCTGGTTCGCTACTCCAAGTGGCTGCAGCGGCCGGAGCTGGACCGATCCAGAGCCAGGAGCTTCTTCCAGGTCTCCCACTCAGGTGCAGGGCCCAAGCACTTGGACCATCTTCTACTTCTTTCCCAGGCCATCAGCAGGGAGCAGGATCGGAAGTGGAGCAGTGTCTCAGGCAGAGGCTTAACCTATTACATCACAGTGCAGGCCTCTAAACCTGTCTTTAATCCTAGGATTTGGAACATTCTGGAAGCAAATGTCCATTCAGTGTTGCTGGAGCTGTTGAGTTGCTGCTGCTGCCTTATCTTGGGATCTAAATGCCTTTCCCCTGCTACCACAAAGTGGGGGAGGGCTTGGGCAAGGGAAGCAAGGAACAAGGCTCTTATTCAAGTACTCAGGGCTAAAATTTTCTGAAGGTGGATTCAGAGTGATTTTCCTATCACTAGAAGTGCAAAAAAGAAATCACATTTTAAATTAGTGCTTCAATAAAATCATTACTATAACTATTAAAAAAAAAAAAGATCTTAAACCACAGAATGGGCTCAGGATCATGAGCTGAGGTGAAACGGCTCTTTCTGGGAAAAGTAAGCCATGTCCCCGTGGGTGACCAGAGGGTTACCTAGAGCACTGTGCCTGGGCACAAAACTCATTCACAATCCACAGGGTTCAGCCTGGGTTTTCATTTACACTTAAAACGTTAGGGACCTTGACCCACAGAAACTGATTAGGACCCTGAGCGCTCAGTAGTGAAAGGACACTTTCTGGCGTAAATAAGAACATCTCATGGAGTGATGTCTTTCCAGGAGCATTGCCCCTGGGTGCAAAACTGAAGTCCTTAACTTGGGGGTTTCATTGTGTTTTTTTCCTGATCACTTAAAACGTCATCTACCTTTAACCACAGAATTGGCTTAGGACACTGAGCTCCAGTGGGTGGCGCTCTGTGGTAGAAGTCAGCAGTCCCATGGAGTGATTGAACAGTGTCCCGGAGCAGGGAGCCAGGGCGCAAAACTCAAGTTCACAGGCAGGTGGAATCAGGGCGGTTTTCCTAATCACGTAAAACGCTACGGATCCGCTCGGCTCCAGCCTTGTGGCCATTTGGGTTGTGGACCAGTGGGTGGGGGCCAGCGCCGTGGCTCACTTGCTTAATCCTCCGCCTGCGACGCTGGCATCCCATATGGGCACTGGGTTCTAGTCCCAGTTGCTCCTCTTCCAGTCCAGCTCTCTGCTGTGGCCCGGGAAGGCAGAGGAGGATGGCCCAAGTGCTTGGGCCCCGCACCCGCATGGGAGACCAGGAGGAAGCTCCTGGCTCCTGGCTTCGGATCAGCGCAGCATCGGCCCTAGCGGCAATTGGGTGTGTGTGTGTGTGTGTGTACCAATGGAAGAAGACCTTTCTGTCTCTCACTGCCTATAACTCTACCTGTCAAATCAAAAAAAAAAAAAAAAAAAAAAGTGGGTGAAGACCTTTCTCTGTCTCCCCCTCCCTCTTTATCTGTAACTCTGCCTCTAAAATAAAATTAAAAAAAAAAATTAGGGACATTTAACCACAGATTTGGCTTAGGAACAGGAGCTCTAGTGGAATGGCGCTTTCTGGTACATGGAAGCGACATCCTGTGGAGTGATTGAACTGTTTTTGGGAGCACAGTGCCTGGGCGAGAACTCAAGTTCATGGTTGGTGGTATAGGGTGGTCGCCCTAATCACTTAGAATCCACTGAGGACCCTGAGCATAGTGAAACGGCGCTTTCTGGAACAAATAAACAACGTCCCGAGGAGGGATGGAACTTTTTCCGAGAGCTTTATGCCTGGATGCAAAACTGGCCAAACTTTACTTTTTAGCCTGGGGAATTCAGGGTTTTTCCTTCTCAGTTAAAATATAGGGACCTTGAACCCCAGAATTCACTGAGGACTCTGAGCTCTGTAGTGAAATGGCGGCTTTCCAGCACAAGTTAGCACGTCCAGTGGAGTTAAGGGGGAGCACTGTACCTGGGTGCCACACTTAAATTCTTTACTTGGGGGATTTTATGTGGGTTTTCCTAATCACTTAAAACGTTAGACGGGCCAGCGCTGTGGTGTAGCAGGTAAACCCATTGCCTGCAGTGCCAGCCAGCATCCCATATGGGCGCTGGTTTGAGACCTGGCTGCTCCACTTCTAATCCAGCTCTCTGCTATGGCCTGGGAAAGCAGCAGAAGATGGCCCAAGCCCTCTGGCCCCTGCACCTACGTGGGAGACCCAGAAGAGGCTCCTGGCTCCTGGCTTCAGATCGGCGCAGCTCCAGTGGTTGTGACCAATTGAGGGGTGAACCAGCAGATGGAAGACGTCTCTCTCTCTCTTCCCCCTCCCTCTCTCTTAGCCTCTCTCTAACTCTGCCTTTCAAATAAATAATCTTTAAAAAATGTTAGAAGCCGGTTAGTGCCCTGAGCTTATTGAAATGGTGCTTTGTGGCACAAATAAGCAAAGTTTTGTGGAATGATCGAACTCCTTGTGAGAGCACCGTGCCTGGGCGCAGCACTTAGGTTTTTTATTCGAGTTTTTTTATAGCTTTTCCTAATCACTTAAAACATTAAGGACATTTAGCCACAGAATCGGCTTAGGACCAGGACCTCCGGTAAAAAGGTGCTTTGCAGCACAAGTAAACAACGTCCCACGGAGTGATCTAACAATATCCCTCAACGATGTGCCAAGGCCCAGAACTCTAGTTCTTAGCCCGGGGATTCAGCGTGGGGCTTTCCTAATCACTTAAACAGTTAAGAGACCTTAACTCACTATGGATGTAGAACCTGACCTCTAGTGTAATGGCGCTTTGTGACACAAGTAAGGAATGTGCAGTG